GCTGAAAGAAACTGTCAATGAGTCTTTGGTTGACCAGTATTGCATGTTTATATCTGTTTTCATGAGAAGCCACTTTGAAGATATCAAGATGTAATACAACCACCATTGTTAATTCCCTACCACTTTGTTTGTAACACTGTATTGTCTGTATTGTGCTTGTGATATGTTGTAAAATGTTGTATGTCTGCTAATGTTTCCCTCCTTTTATCTTTAAAATAATTTAAAAAAAAAAGAAAGAAATATTGGGGCTGGGGATATAGCTCAACAGTACAGCGCCTGCCTGGCAAGTGCAAGGTTGTAGGTTCGATTCCTGGTACCGGAAGAAAAAAAAAATCAATACTCATAATAAAACTTATAAAATTAAAACTTATAATTCATCAATAGAAATATTCTAAAGAATATACATGAATATTATACACCCACAATAATATGCCTTTATGACATAATTGGTGTTATTTCCTGTAGGCTACAGAAAACAGTTCTTCAATAACAACTACAAGGTAATGCAGGTGTTTAGGACAATCAGAATAGGTATAGTAACTAGCAAACATGGCAATGGAATTTTACTTTGGAGAAGAAAGACTGGACTCAACCCTGAATACAGTGTGGACAAGTGGGAACACATTGCCAAGGAGCACAGTGTGTGCGTCTGTGTGTGTGTGTGTGTGTGTGTGTGTGTGTGTGTGTGTGTGGTCTTTGTTTAACAATTTAGCAGTTATTAGTAATTTAGTCTTAGTAATTTTCTAAAAGACAGTGTCAAGAGTAATGGCATTCTGGCTAAATCCACCTCTCAATTCTTGCTTAAGACATGCCAGAGTTATCATAAATCACCTGGATATGGAGAGGACAAGGAACACTACTCAATAGCAAGGGTGGAGGAGGCTAACTCAGTTTTACAAGAAGTCCACGGGTAAGCTTAGAAGGTTCAGTAGCGTCCACCATTTATTGTGTGGCCTTGAACATTTCAGTTTCCTTCTCTTGACCTCAGTGTTTAAGTCTCTAAAGTGGGGATACCTCTACTATTTGGTTCACAGAGTTGTTTTGGAAGGTAACATACGGTTTTTGGTGTCTTGACTGTCATTCGCTAGGGGGAAAGTGATTGCCTCGTAAGTCCTTTCGGCCCCTGCCTTTATTCTTGTACGCCGAGGGGCCCTGCTAAAGGACTGGGGCCTCGCGGCCTCACTTCTAAGTCACCCGTCAAGGTCCTCAATAGGGAGGACCAAGCCCAAGCACAGCAGCGTCAGTCCACGGACCGCCCACCCACCATCACTCTGACGATCCCGCCCTCCCGCAGCCGCCAGACGTCACTTCCGCCGGAAAAGTGTCCGTGCGGTTGGCGCGAAAGTCGGTTCCTGTCCTCTGCAATTTCCGGGTTCCATCGAGTTCGCCCAGGGCTGGAGGCGCCGCCCGGTGGGGGGGTTGTGCGCCGGGGTGGCGCCCGACCCCAGCCGCTGTCCTCCGGGCCGCGCCCCCCCAACTCGCCGCCCAAAGCTTCCAGGCTCCCTCGAGGCGAGTGAGGGCCCGGCACCCTCTCCGTCCCTTCCGGGGGTCGCGGCACTTCCTGTCCGGGTAACGGGTGCTCGGCGGGCCTGGCGGGTGGGCCTGGGGTGCGGAGAGAACGCGGCTTCGGTGCTCGGAGAGCCAGGCCTTTCCTGGGCGCTGCGGAGCAGGAGCATCCAGCTCTTCGGGAGGGCCGGCCTTGTCGACCGGCTGCCGTGTATAAACTCTGCTGAGGATGAACGGGCCGCGCGGGCGCGGGTACCGGCAACCACAAATGGGCTGTCCGTACGCCCAGTTCAGTAGGATGTCCTTTGGCTAGACCATCATCGGCAAGAGCCCTGAGTGTATTCCGTTCAGGGACGTTAGTTTCGCTCTGATTTGCAAGGATTAGTGTCGTCTTCTTTTTCTTTGACTTGGTCCACATTCCAGAGTTTCTTGCAAATGTCCTGGACGAATTCATGGGCAAGGTCAGAATGCCTATCCTTAGGCGTTCTTGTCTGCACTGGAAAGCAGGCGCGTTAAATGTTTAACTTCCTACATTTTTGTTCATGTTAATGATACCTTTATTTTGACAGTTCAGCAATGTCCGCAGATAACCGAGAACCGTTTCTTGTGAAGTTTTTAAAGTGTTCAGATAATTCCGAATGTTTTTTTAAAGCTCTTGAGGTAAGAACAGTTGAACTTCTCTTGTTTGATGCCCTCCTTACGTGTTTTTGATATGTTGGGCTTTATGTCTTAATCATAGAAATCTTTCATATGATTTTACTGTAGTCTGTTAATACAGGTATATCATTGTTACATAATTTGACATAAGTCTGTCCTTTGATATTTGGAGGGGCTTGAAATATGTTAGGACATTTTGGTTGAACGTGCTGATCTTCAGTTTTTGAAAATTGTTTTCTTTTTCTGCTTACCAGATTGGTACTTTGTGTGTTGAATTTTGAGTTGGTCCTGGATTGGTCACACTTCATTGGTTTTCGTTAAAAATGCGTTTTATGCAAAATAACAGGAGGAGGAGTGTTAAAGTTGTGCTGCTCACAGCACCTAGCAGCCTCAGTATGGCCTAGGAGTTTGTTATAAATGCGGAACCTTGAGCCCCAACCCAGACTTGACAAGTAGAATCTGCATTTTAAACAAGATTCCTGATGTATGTTTAAGTTTGAGAAATAGTTTTAACAAGGTTTTCCTTCAAGTCCATACATTCAGCAAATATTTATTGAGTGTCCATGATCTGATAGGTACTACTTTAGTACTTGGGACACATCAGCAGTCAGAGAAAGCAAAGATTTCTCCTGTCTCAGAGCTCACATTCTAGCAGCAGAAAATAGATACTAATCAGATGATAAATGAGAAAAGTATATAGTGTGTTATAATATGCTAAGTGCTATGAGAAGAGAAAAAGCAAAATAGGTTAAGGAGTTTCACAGGATGTTTGTTGGAGAAGAAAACTGGAAGATTTTAACTTTACTAAACAGAGTATGATAAGGGTAGGCTTTGTGTTGAAGATATTTAAGTAAACTTGAAGGGGTGAGGTAGTCCTATGAGTATATAGAGAAGAGGGTTTCAGGCAGAGAGCAACCATTTCCAGGGCCCTAGAAAAGTGCTTGTGTGTATCCAAGGTTGTTGTGTCTATAGAGTAGTAAGCAAGGGATGAGGCTTGAATAATAGGGAATGCTTCAGAAAGTAAGAGTAAAGCCAAGTGAGAGTTAAGCATGGTAAAGCTTAAGATTTAAACATGCCTGTAATCCCAGCACTGTGGGAGTCTGAGGCAGGAGGATCTTCAAGCCCAGCTCAAGCAGTTTAACTTATCAAGACCCTGTTTTAAAATTAAAAAAAAAAAAAAAATTATAAAGGGGGCTGGTGATGTAGTTCAGTGAGAAAGCCCTGGGTTCAGTTAAAAAAAAAAAAAGGTCATGTCGGGCCTTGTGAACCATTGTAAAGATTGACTTTTTCTTTCATTGGTGACCCTCTAGAAGGTTTTAATCAGAAGAACAGTGTATCTGATTAGTTTTAAAAGATCACTGTAAGTTTTTTTTTTAACATAGAACTTAAATTTTGTTCAGAAACTATTGAAGTGCTTACTGGGTGTCAGGATACAAGATACATCATGGAATTTTAAATCTTATAGGGAAGAAACAAAATATGTATATTTATAAAATATCAATGCTATTTTTCTTCATAAAATAGACTAAAGTGATGGAAGGTTTTAAGAACGTATGATCAGGGTGATCAGGAGGCTAGAGGTGTAGCTCAGTGGTAGAGCACTTGTGTAGCATTTGCAAGGTGTGGGTTTGATAGCTAATACTGTCACTTTAAAAAAAAAGGAAATCATGATTAGGAAAGGCATCTCTGAAATGACATTTAAGCAAGGCCTACTAGAAGTAAAGGATCACATCAGGTGAAGACCTGGAGAAGAATATTCTCTGCTCTAAGAACAAGAGCAAAGCTTCTAAACAAGGTCATGCTTAGCTTGTCCCAGGTTATGCCAGTAAGTGGGCGTGACTAGAGTTAAACCTTGGTAAGTGTGGGGAGACAGGTGAGGGCCAGATCCTGAGGTACTCTGAACCATGGTAAGAAATGGGAGTTTTGAGTGTAATGGGACATTATCAGAGGTTGTTTGGATTTTTTTTCTCCCCAGTCTTGAAGATTGAACCCAGGGCCTTCTCTGAGCTACATCCCCACCTTTTTCTTATTTTTTTATTTTTGAGACAAGGTCTCACCAAGATGCTGAATTGCCAGGCTGGGGAAACCTTGGCAAGTCTGTTTCAGCCTGCTGGTCCTCGATTATAGGCATATGCCGCTATGCCCCACTGTCATTAAAGGGTTTTGAGCAGAGTTAACATGATCTGATTTTTTTGTTTTGTTTTCATTTTTGTGGTGGTGGTAGTGGGTAAAAGGTTACAAGCTTTGTAACATAGATTTAGGGCAAGGCAAGGGGAAGTAGATCACTTGGGAGTCTTCTACAGTGGTGTAGGTGAGATTATAGTTGCTTTTAGTAGCAAAAAGGATTTTAAGATGTATTTTGAAGAGTTGATAGGACTTAAATATGGAAAACTAATTTCAAGTACGTTCTTATTTCGTTTTTCTTTCAGTCAATGAAAAAATTCCAATCAGAAGAGTATCTTCAGATTATTACCGAAGAAGAGGCATTGAAAATAAAGGAAAATGATAGATCTCTTTATATCTGTGACCCTTTTAGTGGTGCTGCCTTTGATCACCTTAAAAAGGTCTGCTAACTTCCAGATATTTGTTTGGTGCTCTGTATTTTTTTGGTTTTCAGTGGTCACCAAATATGCAAATTTTGCATACACTGGGATTCTTTTGGCTTGGGGAGACCAGAGTAGTATTTTCTGAAGACTAATCTTGTTATAGTAGGCTTTTATTATTATTTCAAGGAATATAGCTTCATTTAGTATAAGTGAATCTATTGTAACTCAACAGTTTAGTGGTGGAGTTTATTGCACTTCCAACTCAGATTGTAAGATACATCAGTGAAAAATAATAGCGTAGGAGAAGACCTCAACAGTCTTTCTGTGTGCTCTTGAACACAGAATTTTAGTACCTTTCTACCTTGTATCAGGTCTGAAAATTATCTTAGAAGGGAGCATTTTAAATCAACGAGTCAATGAGCCATCTTATTCCTTTTTATTAATTCTAGAGTCTACTGACTCACTTTTTGGTGTCTGGACAAGAGAGAAGCATTGAAATAAAAATAAACTGGCTGTAATTCCACTCAGATTGCAGAGAAGTGGTTCTTGTTTGAAGGAGAAGAAAACATAGCTGAGTAGATGGACGCAGTATCTATACAGTTTATGGAAGGCCTGTGCACACCCTGCCAAGAGTGTTGTTGGTGTTAGCCTCCTTTTTGAAATACAAATCCTGTCTGAGTCAGTAGCATCAAAAACTTACTGTCTTATTTATGGCTGATCAAAAAGATAGTAATAGTTCTTTCCTTGTAGATACTTAAGTCAGTCTTGTAGTGGTGACTTTGGCAACTGTGGGCTTTTAAGTTTGGCTTGAGTATGCTCATGTTGAGTAAGAATGTCACCTTTCTTCACTCAGTATCAGTAAAAATGAAAAGTCATTGTTTTAGTTTATCCTGTCTTTGTTGGTCTTCCTTAGAAAGATGCAGAGTTATAAGTACTTAAAACACAAATGTAGAAACTGTCTTGGATTACACAGCTTTTGGTAACAGTAGGTTTTTTAGAGAGACTCACCATAGGCTTTTACTCATTTAAGCTGCTACACTGCTTGGATACTTCATTTGAGTAATATGCAGGTATACTTCTAGCATAAGATTACTGCATTACAGTTGTGTTTGTTTCAGAGATTAAAATTTTGATAGCAGTTTTGAGTGAGGAGCTCTTGGAAGTTCTTTTGACAGTTATATTGTTTAATTTGCTTTTGTGCGTGCATGTTTACTGTGTGTGAGAAATTAGTGGTCTTTTTTTTTTTCTAACAACTTGGTGATTTTTCTGCAGTAGTCAATAACTTCTGTAAATAATTGTAAATATTACCAAATATAATTTGTAAGAGTGGTAGTCTTCTCCATCTTAATGTACTAAAATTTTCTTTTTTTGTAGCTTAGCTGCAGAATTGTTGGTCCCCAAGTAGTCTTATTTTGTATACACTACCAGCAGTGTGTCCCAAGAGCTGAACATCCAGTTTATAATATGGCTATGTCTGATGTAACTGTATCTTGTACAAGCCTGGATAAAGAGAAGAGGGTAGGTGTTGAATATTACTTTGTATCTGTTTATCTTCACACTTAATTTTTCCCTGCATAAGAAATAATTTAAAAGACCATGCACTTGGTTTTTGTATTCATGACTTAATGAAGTGTAATATGCGACAATCAACAGTGTATATCTTTTTTGTAAATAAACTGAATAGAAGAGAATCCATTTTGTTGAAAATTGGCTAATTGTGAAGTCCGTTTTGATTTAAAAGGAAATTCACTTTTTCTCTTACAATTAGAGATTGCTTTTTGAATCACACTTTTTCATCATAGATGAATAATGTTTAAAAAGAGATTGTAGGAAAAGCGAGGCATGGTGGTATATGCCTGTAATTCTAGCACTTGGACGAGTGAGGCAAAAGCACCACTGCAAGTTCAGGGCCTACCTGGGCTACATAGTGAGTTCAAGGCCAGCCTGAATTACATAGTGAGACTCTCTCCAAAGGGGGGGTACATAATTGTATCAAACTATATTTTAATATACAGGTACAGTTTATATTTTTGAAAATACGTACTATGTAAAAGTATAATCTTTATTACAGGACCAACATAGTTTAGTAAATTCATGGAATTGGAAGAAGAAATACAGTTACTTGTCATTTAACAGCGGTGATATGGTGGTAACAGTGGCGAGAAGGAAAGTATAGCTCAGTGATTATGTCATTGAGTGTTCTTACACAAATTTACATGGCTGTGATGTCATTAGACAGTATAATCTCTTGGGGACCACCCTGTTGTGTATTTTGTCCATTCAATGAGACGTTGCACTGTGACTGTTTAGGAAAATAGTTATTCTTATCTTTATAGTTGATATCTATTTTCCAGGAAGTAGTTTAGCTAATTAACTTTATAATAGAAATATTTGTATATTCAGGTTGTCAACAGCAAAAGCTATTTATGGAATATTGTGTAAAAAATAGAAAAGATTATTTGCTTTGGTATTAATATATTTTCTTTTGGGACTGCAGGAAGAAGTTCATAAGTATGTACGAATGATGGGTGGACGAGTATACAGAGACCTTAATGTATCAGTAACTCACCTCGTTGCAGGAGAAGTTGGTAGCAAAAAATATTTAGTTGCTGCAAATCTAAAGAAACCTATTTTGCTTCCTTCTTGGGTAAAAACACTTTGGGAGAAGTCACAAGAGAAGTAAGAGACATTTATGTATTTACAGACTTGGTTTTTATTAATACATGCTTATAGTATATAATGACTACAGTCATCGTGGGGAGTTGGTACATGTGCATAACATCTCTTCAATTCTTTTTCTGTCCCCTTCTCTCCCCTTCCTCTTCTATTTTATAGACTTGAAAAAATGATGTGTTCTGTTATTTAGACATACTCTGAGATTTTTCCTAGATGAAGTTTTATGGTATTTATTGGATTTGTTATTTGGAAACAAAAATGGGGTCATCATTCTTCCCAGGGAAAACAGAACAGAGTATACATTATTGTAATAGTGCTTATTAGCAGGGTAGAAGTGGATGGTAGAACAGGCTGTGGGTTTAGCACTGACCAGAAGATAAATGCTTTGATGATAAAGTTCTGTGCAGTGTTTCTGAAATCATTGAAAAAATCATTTTTTTCAGCTTTAGTTCTTAGGCTATATAGTCCTACTTCGCACGTATTTAAGATGGAGAAAAAATTAGGCATTTTGGCAGTCATTTTCCCTCCAAGGGGGGCATATGTAAGATTGAATATAAACATAAAAGCTGTCAGCTGAGCTGGGATCAGTCCTGTAAATTGAGCCTAATTCACCTGCCAGGCCCAAGTTAATCATTAGATATACATCGGGAGCAAGCAAGATAGTGTTCTTTCCCTTATAGAGCTTAGATCCTTTCTCAAGCTGTATGCTGAAGTTTTTCCTGGAAGTTAATTAACACCTGAAAGTCTAGGTAGCAAGGAATCATATTGGCTTGAAAATTTTACCAGCATTTTTCTAGGCCTGTGTTCAACACCATTTTGTACCTCTTCAGTACACCACCATGTCAGCATTCCATTCTAGACTGACTGCTTCATCAGCGTATCAGCATACCCATGTGGGCAGCAACAGAGTAACGATATTTTTGTTGATATTCTGCCAAAGATCAGTTGCTTTTACTTACATAGACTAATGGAAGAATTTAAGTGTATTTTTATTTTTATTTTTTTTTTATTTTAAAGAATAAAAGAAGGATAACATAATAATAGGGGGGACTTAGCAAATTACAGACAAAATTGTAGGAAATTATCAATGGTTATTGTTTTACATATTATTATCTACAAAATAGTTTCTCAGGAAAACAAATAGACAAATAATAGTGAGTTAGAGACAAAAGAGGTAGATTATCAAGAGTTGTTGTGCTATACTTTGGTATCTTCAAAGAGGCTTCTAAAGAAAATAAATAGAGCTATACATGAGTGACCTATTGAAAAATCATTAACTATTCTCAATGGTTGTTGTAGGAAACACATAATAATAAACATACATCCATTTATGAAAAAGGATAGGAACTTTACACAGTTATGGATAGATTAGTAGGAAAATATCAATGGCTGCTGTAATACGTGGTGGTATCTTCAAAGTGGTTTCTCAGGAAGACAGAGATATGCAAGAAGGATCTAATAAGTAGTTACAGCCCAAGGGGTGTCAAAAATAGCATATTACCTCCTCACCAGTGACTCCTTTCACTGAGGTATGGTGGCTGGAAGGAAGGCCAGGATTGAAAAGAAGGACCGAGAGACTTGCACCTGTGTCTAGCAACAGGCTGTTTTCTTGTTCCTCCATAGTCATGATTACCCAGGACTCCTTGATGGAGATGACGGTCTGGCCAGAGGGAGAAGGCAGACCATGCCCCAAGCCCTCTCATTCCTGTTGGACTAACTGGTAGCATGGGTCTGAGCTCTGGGGCCTCCACCTCAGAGGGCAGACCGATCTCCAGTGGTCTCCTTTACATCCAGGGCATGGCCCATGGGGCCTCTTAGGGCAGTTCCTCTTGAGGTGGCCTGGCTTTTAACAGTGGTAGCAGATGAATGCAGTTGTTGAGTTCTTCTTGGAGCCCCGGGAATCAGACCTGGGATCTGTTTCTCTTAGTGGTGCAGCAAAAGCAGCTGCTTTTTCTCAGTCTCTTTGTTTTCTCTCCTTGGCCTCCTCGTCATGGCTATAGAATACTGAGGAGGCAATTCTTACTAACATCTCAAGTGAGCTATCTGGGGTGAAAGCCATTCTTTGTAGCTTTTTCTCTCCAGCTTCTGATTGCTTTGGGACCCCACAACCAGTTAGTGTCCTCTCCCCAACTGTCAGCACAGGCAGCAGGAATCCTGCTGCAGACTTCTCCAGAGCTTCACCACAGCTTGTACTGTCAGGGGAAGAATGGCTTCCAATGAGTCTCTGCAGGTATTGTGCAAGGTCCTCCTGGTTTACAGCTTCCGAGCGGCTCTCGTGACCCCAGTTCACTGGACCTCTGACTCCGTGGGCTTAGTCTGCATTCTCATGTTCTCTGAGTCCTTGTTCAGCAGCTGCTCCTCCACTGGCTCTGGACCTTTCTGGTTCCCAATGGCAGGAGCAAGAGTGGCCCGTTGTATGTCATGTATTCCCAGGGGTTGTTCAAAGTTTCGATGATTCACACACATCCGTGGGTGGGCAACTGCAGTCGGTGCATGGTGGGCCAGTTGTGTCACTGTTTCCTGTGTCATGATAGATCTCAATTGAGCGGCGGCGGCCGGCCTGAGGGCCGGCGCGCAACAGCGCTTGCCGCCGCATGGCTCCCCATGCGCTGGGGGCCCACCCTCCGGGAGCCAGCAGGCAGGAAGCTAGCCAGCCAGAAGGCTGGCGCTCCCCACCCGCACCTCCCTATGCGCTGGAAGCCCTCCTTCGGGGGAACGACGAGGCCGGGAATCTTAAGTGTATTTTTAGTAGACAACCAAGAAACCTTAGGGTTTTTAAGTAGAGATGCAGTCTTTTGTATTTGAAAGATGTGCCATACTGAAAGATATACCTTGCTGATTAAAGACCAGTGAGGGCTTAAAGTTAATGAAATGGTGTTTTTCCCTTGAAACAGCTTTATTTGAAAGACTATAGCTGAAATAATACTTTTTATTAGAGATATGCTATTGAACTAGGTGAGTGAAATCCTGAATGTTAGTTCTCCTTTTCTTAAAAATATTACAAATCTTAAAAAATGAGAAAAGTAATCTTTGCGTGGTGGCACATGCCTAAGATCCTAGCACTTTGGGAGACTGAAGCAGGAGAATCTTAAGCTTGATGCCAGCTCTGCCAGCTTAGTGACTTGAGACCGTATCTTGAAGGGCAGAGGGTTGGGTGGGGCTGGGGTTGTAGTTCAGTGGGAAGGCTGTAGATTCATTCCCTAGGATTGGTGGGAAAATGAGGAAAGCAGTAGTGATACTCTGGTTTGTCATTACGCTTCTAGTAAAAATCTAAACTATCTGATATGCTTAATATATTTTTATTCCTTTTTATCATTTGTTTTCTTTAGTGAAATAACTAGACATACCGATGTGAACATGGAAGAGTTCAGGTGTCCTGTTTTTCTTGGTTGCGTGATCTGTGTGACTGGTTTGTGTGTCCCGGATAGGAAGACAGTTCAGCAGCTCACAATCAAGCATGGAGGCCAGTACATGGGACAGTTGAAAATGAATGAATGTACACACCTGATTGTGCAGGAACCAAAAGGTAAAGACTGTGTTTTGCAAGTAGTCTAATGGAATTTTCTTTAGTACTGAACGTTTTAAAATCTTTATAGAACAGTTTTTGTTTTCTGACTGCTGTTATATAATCTAGTTGATATTTTTTTCCCTAAAATCTTGTAAAGATAGTTTGGGTCTCAGTGTGTAAAAAAATTTCGTGACCATCCATGTCATTGACTAATTACTGGTAACCTTCAATTTTGTTTCAGGTAGGTTTTTAAAAATAACCTATTATAATTTGAATATTTCTTCATTTCTCTTGTTTATTTCTTAACACAAATAGGTCAGAAATATGAATGTGCCAAAAGATGGAACGTACACTGTGTGACCACACAGTGGTTCTTTAACAGCATTGAGAAAGGTTTTTGTCAAGATGAGTCTATATACAAGACAGAACCTAGAGTAGAAGCAAAGACACTGCCTGATACTTCAACTCCCACTGGTCAGACCAGCACTACTGATAGTAAGTCCATTGAGATTAAAACAGAATCGATTTTCCATGTATTGAGAATTGATTTGTTAGGCTGAGTATGTTGCTTAGTGGTACAGTGCTTACCTAGCATTTTAAGACCCTGGATTTAGTCATAAACACTGGAAAAAAAAAAGTTAATTTGTTAATAGGATCACTGAAATATAATAGGGAATTTCTAATTTTTTCTCTTTGCTTCTAGGCTTAATTATATAATAAAATAGCTAAGTTGTATAAATATATTAAAAATTTGTCCAGAACTGCTCCCAGTATTTCTTTCTAGAGTGAATAATGACTTTCTTCCAATACCCAGATAGTAGTACATGAGGTGATCAAAGACATTAAAATTACTAAAATTACTAATGGGTGAAGACTTAAGTTCTGAATTTTTCAGAACTTTCCTGACACAAATATTAATACTTTTTTTTAGTTTATCATGATTATTGTAGATAAGTATTTGTATAAAAATGAAAAGTTTTTAAGTTGTAAGTGCGACATTGGCAAAATGTTACAAAATTACTTTTGCAAATTTTATTTTTTATTAGTACATGTTTGCAGTATATAATGATTGTATTCCTTGTGGGCAGTTGGTACATGTGTATAACACATCTAAGATTTTTTTCAAATACAAGTTTCTTGGACTTTAAGGCCAGCAATTTCATTTTATGGGAAACAAGTAAGAGACTTAATTTTATTTGTCCTGTTTGGCCACCAAGATTTCTGTTAAAAACCTTTGAATCTGGAAGGTGTGGTGGTATACACCTGTAATCCCAGCTGTTGGGAGGCTGAGAGAGAAGGATCACTTTGAGTTCGAGGCCAGCCTGGGCTACATAGTGAGTTCAAGACCAGCCTGAATGACATAGTGAGACTTGTCTCAAAAACAAAAAATCCTCTAACTCTTATTTGGAAATTGTTTCTAGACATTGGGTTATGGGAGAAATTAGAAGAAAATATGTAATGACTGTTCCAACTTCATAAATTTGTACTTTGTTTTAAAATATGTAGGCCGTACTCTTTCAGACGTCAGCCACATTTCCAATATAAATGGAAGTTGTATAAATGAATCCATATGCAATTCAATTCATAATAGCAAATTGGAACCTACACTCGAAAACCTAGAAAATCTGGACATCAGTGCATTTCAAGCACCTGAAGATTTATTAGATGGTTGTCGGGTACGTCTTTATTATGTAATAAATGCAGAAAGTATGTATACTGATACAGTTCAGCGCTGCTGTGCTTGAGTTTGTCGGCCCCTCAGACTTGGACTTGCTCTTTCTCTACATAAACCCTTCACTAAATGAAAAAGACGCCCTCACTGTGTCCATCACTGAGCTGTAAGGATCCCTTGGCCTGGGATGTGCTATCATCTGTTATCCTCCAAAATTCACTTCTCTGAACCCTTTCAGTTGCAGTAATCTGCTGTGCTTTGAAATTCTTAATTTTTGAGCCACTTAATAGATTTTTATTTATAAATGTCACTTATTATTTATAATGTATTAACATTGTTGATAATTTTATGTTATATTAGTATATTGTGTATAATCTCAAATCCCACAAGTAACTTAATAGATACTGTCTTGAGGTTAACACTCAGAGGATTAAAATTCTTTTTCACAATCATACAGACAGCAAATGACTATCCATCCACCCCAGAGTCTGTCTTCCTGATCAGGAGAGGCCCTTCTGTTCAGTATCTCTGGGTTCAAATTTTTAGACCAGACTTCAACTTGCTCTTTATCTACATAAACCCTTCACTAAATGTAGAAGACGCCCTCACTGTGTCCATCCCTTAGTTGTACTACACATACCTGTAATCCCAGCATTCTGGGAGACTGAGGCAAGAGCAGCCCACCCTGGACAACTTGACTTACGGAGATCTCTAAGAATTAAAAAAAAAAAGAAAAAAATATTTTTTTAAAAAAGGAAACAGGGGATGTAGCTTGGTGCAGAGGTCCTGGATTCAATCCTCAGTACACAAAAAGAAATAAGTGTATTTTTAGTATGTATCTTATAAGTTCCTTGATGGAAATGTTATATATTGTACTTTTTCAGATCTTTTAGCTCTGAATACTAAATGCATTCCTAGTTGTAAAATGACTAATCTGGTTTCAGTTTTATTTAAAGCCACAGTGTACTTCCAGTGTCTACTGTGAAAGATAATCCAACAGATTGTAAAGGAGTAATTTTTTTAAAGTGAGTTTTTAAAAATTTCATTAGTACATGTTGACAGTTCATGACATTTACAGTCATCTTGGGGAGTGGTTACATGTATATACAACTTGTTTCTTTCTTTTTTTAGTTGCTTTTCTTCCTTCTCCCTCTCCCTTCTCCTCCAATTCTCTTATCCCATTTTTTATTCTTGTTGATATTATTTATCTCAGCTTGTGTTGTGGCATCTGTTTACATTAATTGAGGTTACTAGCTTCCTGTACATAGCAAATCTTTATTCTCCTTATTTCCCCTTTCCCTCCTCCTCACCCCTTGTGCTTTTTCCCTTGGGCCACTTCCCCATTGCAAGAGATCCATTGGCTTGTCCCTTTGTTTATATTTTGCCTCACTCAAATGAGAGATACCATATGGTATTTAAGCTTGCATATCTGGTTTATTTCACTCAACATTATATTTACCAGGTACATCCATTTTCCTGCAAATGTCTAAAATCTGTGATTCCTTATACCACAGTAGTGTTCCATTATATATAGATACATTTTCTTTATCCAGTCATCCGTTAATGGATATAGAGGCTGATTCCAGGATTTAGCTATTACGAGTTGTGCTGCTATGAACATTGGCATGCATGCTTCCCTGTGGTATGACGTCTTTAGCTCTTGAAGATACCCAACAGGGAGATCTCCGGGTCATATGGTATTTCAAATATCAGTTCTTTGAGAAATCTTCATATTAATTTCCATAATGGTTGTACAAGTTTATATTCCCACCAACAATGAAGTAGGGTTCCTTTTAGAACACAGCCTCACCAGCATTTGTTCTTTTTTTTAAGAGTAGGAAAATTCATTGGAGAAAAGGAATGGAGAACAGGAATGGGGGAATAGAGAATAAGAATAGCTTCTGAAAGACAGGAGGGATCTCAAATGGGATGCTCCAGCATTTGTTCTTGTTTGATTTCTTAATAATTGCTGTTCTTTCCAGAGTAAGACAGAATCTTAGCATTGTTTTAATTTGCATTTCTCTAATGCAGAGATGTGGAGCATTTTTTCCTGTATTTGTTGACCATTTTTATTTCTTCCTCTGTAAAGTGTCTGTTCATTTCCCTTGCCCATTTCTTGACCTGATCTTTATTTTTAGGTGGTGTAATTTTTTTTAGTTCTTTGTATATTTTAGGTATTTAGTCCTCTAAAGAGTAGCTAACAGATATTTTTCCCGTTTTGTAGGTTGCCTCTTCACTCTACTGATTAATTCTTTTGCTGTACAGAAACTTTTTAGTTTGGTATAAGCCCATTTATTGATTCTTGCTGTTACTTGTGCAATTGAGGCTCTGTTTAGAATCCTTTCCTACATCTGTGTCTTTATAAGTGTTTTACCTATTTTATCTTCCAGTAGGTTTAATGTTTCTGTTCTATTGTTTAGATCTTTGGTCCATTTTGATTTTAATTTAGTATGTGGTGAGAGATGAGGGTCCATTTCAGTCTTCTGCACATGGATAACCAGTATACCCAGCACCACTTGTTGAATAGGCTATCTTTCCTCCAACATATGCTTTTGGGCCTTTTGTCAAAGATCCAGTAGCTGAATATATCTGGGCAATATTCTGTATCTTCAGTTCTGTTCCACATATCTGTTTTTGTTCCAGTACCATGCTGTTTTTATTACTATTGCTTTGTAGTATAACTTGAAGTCAAGTATTGGAATGCCTCCTGCTTTGCTCTTGTTGCCCAAAAATTGCTTTTGCTCTTCTGGATCTATTCTGGCTCCATATAAATTTTAGGATTTTTTTTTTTTCTGGTCTGTAAAATAATGCTGTTGGTATTTTGATAACAGTTTTTTAATTTTTTTTAACAATTTTTTTAGTATGACCATTTTGATAATGGTTCTACCTCTCCGGATGCAGGGGATATCTTTGCATTTTCTCATGTCCTCTTTAGTCTCCTATTTTAGAGTACAGTAGTTTTTTTTGTAGAGGTCTTTCACTTCCTTGGTTAGGTTAATACCTAGGTATGTCATTTTTTTGAAGCTACTGTGAATGGCATTATTTTCATAATTTCCTTCTTATCCCATTCATTGTTGGTGTACACATTAATAATTTTTGTGTATTGATCTTGTCCCTTGCTACATTGCTAAAGTTCATTATTCTAAGAATTTTTTGGTGGAGTTCTTTGGGTCTATGTAGAGTATCATATTATCTTCAAATAATGATAATTTGTTACCTTCCTTTCCTAAATATATCTTTTATTTTGTTTTCTTTCCTAATTGCTCTGGCTAATGTTTCAAGTACTGTGTTGAATAGAAGAGGTGATAGTAGACATCCTCATCTTATTCCTGATTGTAGCGGGGAATGCTTTCAGTTTTTCCCCATTTAGTATTACGCTAGGTGTTGGTTTGTCATATATAGCTTTTATCATATTCAGGTATGGTCCTTGTATACCTGTTTCCTTCAGGGTTTTTATCATGAAAGAGGTGTTAGATTTTGTCAAAAGCCTTTTCTGCATCTGTTGATGTGATCGTACAGTTTTTGGCCCTGCTTCTGTTTATGTCATGTATTACATTTATTGACTTACATACATCGAACCATTCTTGCATCCCTGGGATGAAACCTACTTAATCATCATGTATCATCTTTTTGATAATGTCCTGCATTCTATTTGCTAGTCTTGTCGAGGATTTTCTCATCTCTATTCATTAAGGAGATTGGCCTATAGCTTTCTTTTTCAGTTGAGTCTTTATCCAACTTTGGGATTAGGGTGACACAGGCTTCCATAAATGAGTTTGAGAGCACTCCATTCCTTTCAGTTTCTTTGAAGAGCTTGAGGAGTATTGGTAATATAACATCCATAAAGGCTTCGTTGACTTCAGCAATGAATCTGTCAGGTCCTGGGGTTGTTTTGTTAGTAGATTCTTTACTACAGTGTCAGTTTCATTGCTTGTTACTGAGTTGTTAAGCATATTTATGCCTTCTTGGCCTAGTTTCAGTAGTTTATATGTGTCTGGCAATTTCCGTTTCTTCAAAATTTGCTAATTTGTTGGAATGTAATTTTTAGGAGTAGTTACTATCTTCTGGATTTCCACAGTGTCTTGTGATTTCACCTGTTGTGTTTCTGACTGCATTGATGTGATTCTTTCCTTGCTTTCTTTTGATATGTTTGGCAAGGGGTTTATCTATTTTATTCTTTTAAAGAACCAGCTCTTCAGTTTGTTGACTTTTCTTTTTTTTTCAGCTTTTTTTGTAGTCTCAGTTTCATTGATTTCTGCTTTCACCTTTATAAATTCCTTCCTGAAATTGGTTTGAGGCTGGCTTGTTGTTATCTCTCAAGTATTTTAAGTTTTCTCATAAGGTGGTCTATTTGAACTTTCTGTTTTCCTAATGTGAGCATGGATTACGATGAATTTTGTTCTTAAAACTGCTTTCATAGTGTCACAGAGGTTTTGATGAGTTGTACCACCATTGTCGTTAACTTTCAGAAATTTTAAAATTTTTTTTATTTCTTCACTGACTGGTTGTTTGGGAGTATATTGTTAATTTTCCAGGAGCTCTTACCTTTTCTGAAATTTCTTTTGTTGTTGGTTCTGTTTTCATTGCACAGTGATCTGGCAGTATGCATGGGGCATTATATTTACTTAAGCAGGCTTTGTGGACTAGTATGTGATCTGTTTTGGATAAAGTACCATGTGCTGCTGAAAAGAATTTATACTGTGTTACAGGGGGTGAAATGCTCTGTATATCCATTAAATCTATATGTTCAAGGGTGTGGTTTAGCACTGAAACTTTTTGATTGGTTTTTTGTTTGGTTGATCTAGCTCTTTGTGAAAATGGTTGTGAAAATCTCCTACTACGATTGTGGTAGTGTTTATTCAATTTTTTTTTTTTTTTTGGGTTTTCCTCTGGTACCAGGAACCGAACTCACGACCTTGCGCTTGCCAGGCAGGCGCTTTTGCCACTGAGCTAAATCCCCAGCCCCTGTTTATTCAATCTTTTAACTTCAGCAGTTTTTGTTTTATGAAGATAGGTGCTTCAGTATTCAGTACATATATATTTACCAGTATTATCTCTTGTTCCCTTAACTAGTATATAGTGACTTTCTTTGTCTCTTTTAATAAATTTTAGCTTGAAATTTACCAAGTCTGATATTAGAATTCCTACCACTGCTTGTTTTCAGGATCCTGGTGCATGAAATGTTATTTTCCATCCTTTAATTTTTAGTTTATGAATATCTTTTTGGATGAGATGGATTTCTTGAATGCAACAGATTGTTGGATTCTGTTTTTTGACCCAGTCTTCCAGTCTTATCTTTTATTGACGAGCTGAAGCTGTTGACATTGAAAGATACTACCAAAATGGGTTGGTTATTTATTATCATTGCCTTCTTAATCTGTTGGTGTATCCTTTGTTCTTCTTTTCCTGATGTTTTTTTTTTTTTTTTTTTGCTGCTATTTATCCATTGACCTTACTGGTTTCCTGTGTTCATAGTTGTGTCTGATTTGTTGTTTCTGTTGAGAATATTCTTAAGTATTTTTCTCTAGAGCTGGTTTAGCACTCATACATCTTCTGAGCTGGTTTATTTCATGGAAATACCTTATTTCTCCATCTGTTGTGAAGGGTAGCTTTAGTGGGTAGGTTAATCTGGGTTGGAAGTTATTTGTTCTTAGAGCTTTAAATATTCCCCTCCAGGCTCTTCTGGCATTTAGGGTTTGGGTTGAGAAATCTCCTGTGGCTCTAATTGGTTTACCTTTATATGTGATTTTTTGTTTTTCTCTGGCTGCTGGTTTTTTGCTGGATATCTGGTAATTTGATAAGGATATGCCTTGTTGAGCTTCTTTTTTCATTGTAACTGATGTTCTGTAAGTGCTGCTTACTTGTATTTTACTTTTATATTTGATTTTTGTAAGCATGTTAGTAAATCCATCTGTGCTGTCCTCTAGTTTTTCTTTAACTCCAATTAGCTGTAGATTGGTTTGCTTGTTATCTAGTAGTTGCTGGATAGTCTTCTCTTGTTCTTTTCATTTCTTTTTAGCATCTTTGAAGTCTTTGTTGTAGTTCACTATTTTGTCCTTACTGTCACTCTGTCTTTACACTGCTAATTTCTACAGTATATGAATTCTGTACAATTTTTTATTTCAGGTATTACTGTCTGACATCTTTCCAAGATTATGATGATGAATTGAAGCAGTTTTGGAATAAGTCAGCACACAGGTTTTGTCAGCGATTCCATATCGTTGCTGAATCTTTCATTTAGATTTTGAATTGTTTTGGTTAGCTCGTCCAGTTTTTTATCCTGTATTTGCATATTGAGTGAAATTACTATAAGCTTTTGGTTCATTTCCTCTTTGAGCTCATCTGTTTTCTTCATCCTGTCTATGAACTTTTCATAGATTTCTGCTTCCTGGTATTTGTTTTCTTCTCCCTTTGTGAGCCCTTGTTCTGCTTTGGGAGAGTTGTGGGGGTTTAAATATCTGTTTTCTTCCCCTTCTCTTGTGTGTATCTGTGTTTGTTTTTGTACATGTCTTTTCAAAAAATTATATATAGCCCATCTTTGCTACCCTCTTTTCCCGAGGGCGTTCGCTGCAGGTTAGAGAAGTGAAGAGAGTTTGTGACTTATATGGAGATTTTTTTTTGTAGGATGTTACCTCCCCGTAAATAATTTTTAGCTTCATATGTCCAGTGGTAGAATTTACATCTGTTATTTACTTAAGTGATGTCGACCTGTTCATGGTTTGCTGAATTGCTTCTACATAACAACATCCACAGGTTCAACCGTACAACGCTTCTATATGACAGCTCTTGAAGTTACTCTTTCCCCCTTCGTCTATTTTCTCTGCATACTATGACTGTTTAGTATTTGTGGTTCTGCAGTGAGAGATGAGGTGGGGTGGGGAGAACGGGAGGTGGCTTCGATGAAGCGTGTTAGAAACTAAGGGGGAAGTTGGAAGGGGGAATAGTGGTAGGTGGGAAGAAAAGGTTGATGTGAAGTCTGATTTTATTGGAATACTTTTAGTTGAGTTAAACGGTTAGTACTGGAATTTTCAGAGGAAACTTTGTTGGGGCAAGGGTGAGGTATGGCCAGGTACTTTAACTTGTTTCTATAGAAGTTGCCAGGAATGTTGATGCCCTCATACTGCACAACAGTTGCCTTCCGGTCCAGCAGTACCTGCATGGCCAGGGTGGCCACCAGGTGGCCCAGGAGATAGTCTTGACCATCTAGCCCCAGAACCTGCCCCTCCACCATCTTCAGTAGCTGCCTGGGACAAAAGTGAGAGTTTTAGAATACACTTTATTTCTTACTCGTCACACAGCAAAGATTTATCACTGTATTATTGTCAAGGAAATTTGGCAAAGGATCCCATCCTTCTATACTTCCAAATCTTACCAACTTGTTGGTAGATCAGAAAATATTTTGTGTATTCTTTTATTCTAAGCTATATTAGTTTTAGATATGATTTTTAATTATTCTTTACATATAGAAAAGTATGAGTCCTAATTTTTGTTAAAATATATATAGTAATGGAGATGATTTAATTCACATTACAAATGCAGAAAGATTTGTCATTCTTGGGTTTTTAAGGGACCTCATAAAATAGAGGTGGAAATTTTTTGTATTGATTAAATTGGTTTAGATATATGTCCTGATAATTAAAAATAAGTTTAATAAATTTTTGCATTTTTTCCTCAAAGCACTCTTTGGCTTTTACATATTTGGTTTTATTAACTACAAAAAAGAAATCTCTTTATAGGTAAGAAAATTAAAGAGCTTAATACATTCACAGTGGTGCTTTAATTTATATGTCTCATTGCCCGTTGGCTCTGAACCAACGTTCCAAGTCACCTGTGGGACAGTCGTGCATGTACCACGTGTGGTTCAAGCTGGTAGGAACGTGTTCCTCAGCTTAGCTTGTGTGGTTAATCAGTACGAGCTGAAAGCAATGATTTAAGCATAGATAGTTTGAAATTACAATTAGAGTATTATTTCTATAGTTATTTTAAAATTTAGTAGCAATAAGATCATCACAATTTAAGAAGCTGCCTGCATGACTAGAAATTGTTATGCACCAATATTCAGAAGATACTAGATTTTGATTTCTCTTTTATTTAAAGCTACAAAATAACTTATCAGGTATCTACTAGGAAAGATAATACTATGGGACTGTAAAATTATTTTTAACAGTTTCAGAAAACATTTCATTTCTTAATGTACCCTAAAATGTATGTAGATTATCTTATTTAGGCACATTGGATTTAAACACCTATTTTTTTTCTTTTGGATATCTACTCTTAATTTTGTTTCTACTGAGAAATCAAGCATCTTAAATATATATCAATCTAAAGCAAATGTTTTCTTTTTTTGCAGATATATCTTTGCGGTTTTAGTGGCAGAAAGCTAGATAAACTGAGAAGGCTTATTAACAGTGGAGGTGGAGTTCGTTTTAATCAGCTTAATGAAGATGTAACTCATATTATTGTGGGAGATTATGATGATGAATTGAAGCAGTTTTGGAATAAGTCAGCACACAGGTTTTGTCAATTTTTAATTCAAAGCAGTTTGTACTTGTATAATAATTGTTGTTAAACTTGTACGTCTGTGTCCACGAGACTGCATGGAAGTGGGCTGATGGTCTTCGTAGCTTAAATGAATGTATAACTGTGCTGTTTTTGTAGGCCTCATGTAGTGGGAGCAAAATGGTTGCTGGAGTGTTTTAATAAAGGTTACATGCTTCCTGAAGAAATGTATATTCATGCCAGCTACAAGCCAGTAGAAATTCCAGCTTCAGATCAGCCTGAGAGTAAAACAGCTCTTTCAAAAAAGAACAGCAGCTTCTCTAAGAAAGACTTTGGTCCTAGTGAAATGCGTGAACAAGCTGATGAGGATCTGCTCTCTCAATATGTAAACAATAACTCCACAGTAGGTAAGAAATACTTGACTTGTATTGATAGGGGTAGTAGTTTCTAAGAAATACTTTAGTAGCTAAATACATACATACATACATACATGACCTCTGCCAAAATTTTAAGTTAAACCTTTTCATTCTCTTAAAATTTTGTATGTAAGTTTTTTCTGGGCTGGCAAGACCTCTGAGCTCTTCTCTGTTGTCTTCAACTAACTGGCTCCATTTTGATCTATTACACATAGAGGCATTGCTTGCTATGTAAGTTTGTGATAATTTGTAACAAATGCTTCTGACTGGTGGATTACTGAGGTCTTCAATACCTGTGAATGCCCAGCCCACCTCAGCATGTAGTTATAAAAGGGTGGTAAGGTAAATTTTCAGTGAAGAGTTAGGAAAAACTTTCTTTTGTAAAACATAGAATGTATTATGAAGTGTTTAATATATCTAAAAAGACATAAAGAATAATGTGATGAGTAACAGTGTTATCTAGTTGTAAAAAATAGAATTATGGCTGTGTCAAAGCCTCCAGGGAATCGCTCTTCATTTTTTCTTATAATCTGTATCATGCATCTATAAACAATGTATATATTGTTTGATTTTGCATCTGTTTTAACTTACATAAATCATACATGGTATGTTTTTTCCAACTACCCCCTACACCTCATAGGAAAAGTCCTTATCTAATCTAGGTATCTAGCTATGAATATACTGCACCCAGATGGGTATACCATACTTTATTACTTTTTCCACTATGATGTTTTTGTTATGTCTCTTTGTTACTAGAAACACACTGCTGAAGTTGTTCTTATGCATGTCTCCTTGTGCACATGAACAAGAATTTTTCTAGCATATAACCCCAAATTGACATGGGTGATTCAAGGGGACATGTACATCTCTCTGACATAATATGGATTGCTTTCTGAAATTTACCTGTGTATACTCTTATGGTAGTGTTATTTCATTTTCTTCTGTTTGTCCCATTTTTCTATCCCTCCACGCCCTTACAATTTTTTTGTCTGATTTTGGGTGGATTAATCTTGTTCCTTTTAATCCTAAATCCCATTCTGAACTCCATACCTTTTCCTCTGTAGGTTTAGAAGTCAGTATACTGTTTATATTTTTAATGTTTGCTCTTGGAACTTTAATGTGCCTCATAACAAAATCTAAAGACAACTGGAATTTTTCTTTTCCTCAAGAACCTTAGGATACTTTAATGATCACAACAGACATACACAAATCCTTCCTAACACACACAGCCTATGTGATTTTGTTTAATATTTTCATCTTTTTAGTTTCACAGTCCAGTGTTGTTATTATTGTTTTATAGGTGAGTAATTTGTTTTGGTTTACCAATGTATATAATTGCCCCCCTCGTATATCTCATTTCTCCCACTTTATAACTGTGTGACAATGCAAGCTACAGATTCTATTTGAAACCTGAGACTCGTTTTGGAGAAAAGGAATATATTGATAATATTAATTTCATAGTTAACATTATATGAATATAAGCACTTAGACATAGTGCCTGTCTGAGTGAATGTATCCTTTTTTAGAGACAGGGTCTCACTATGTAGTTCAGACTGGCCTTGGACTCGCAGTGATCCTCCTGCCTCAGCCTCCGAAGTGCTAGGATTTATCAGCATGCACCATCATGCCCTGCTTGAGTGAATTCCATAATGCAGAGTGAATATTATCACCTAAGGAGTAAACAGTAAACATTTTAGGAATTGTAGCCACAATCTGTCTCTGTCACACACTCTGTTTTGTTTTGACAACCATTGAAACATATAAAAGTTAGTCTTAATTCCAAGACTATATAGAAACAGTCTGTGTGACGCATGAGGGCTCCTTATCTGTGGTTTGTCAACCCCAGCATTACCTTCCAACACAGCTATAGAGTTTTTTAAATATCTTCTTACTTCTTGTACCTCAAGCCTTAATTTGAAATGTTTTTTTGGATATTATGGACTGTATATTTTAATGATTTATATTTTTCTATAGGTGCTGTATATATTTCTTATAGTACCCATCTGTCAGTCAACTATATCCTAAAATGGCTTTGCTGAGATAATTTGCTTGTGTCCTTGATCACTTATTCACTGAAGAAATCGACATAAATCTTAGTAGCTCCAACTTCAACAAGAAACATCTTAGGAATTTTTAGAAATAACTGATTTTCTTATTACTGCATTTATGTAGTTCTCTCCATGGTAAAGGCTTGATAGTTACACCAGATAGGCCTGTTAATTCTGTTTTTAGGCCTGTTAACTCTGTTTTTCCTTTAATGTTTTCTTAGTGATACTTTAAATTATCTAGACAAGTTTTGAAACTAAGACATGCCTATAGGAGCATTGTGACTTCCAGCTTATCCATTTCTAGCACACTAGGAATACATAGAACTAACATGCTTCCTACTGGAAGATGGTGATACTGATAACATTCCTGGTAACCCTGATAACATTCCTGGTAACCCTGAGCATGGTGTAGATCTACATCCCTTCTTCCTTGTGTACATTTAAGCCTTGGTTGGGTAAGCCTCCAAATGATGAGACTTGTTATATTAAATTATCTATTAGAGAACTGTTTTTCTCTTCCAGTGGATGCTAACAAGTCTGAAGCTGCAGAGTCTGAAGTTGGGCCCTGTAATGGTTCTACTCATGTTGAGCCCTTTAATGATTCTACTCACATTTCTCTACAAGAAGGAAACCAATCTTCTGTCAGTCATTGCTTCCCTGATGTTTCTACAATTACTGAAGAAGGCTTATTTAGCCGAAAGAGTTTCCTTATTTTGGGTTTTAGTAATGAAAATGAATGCAGTATTGCAAGCGTCATAAGAGAATATGCTGGAAAGGTTGTGTCCCTTCCTAGCAGAGTTGTTGCTGATTATGCTGTGGTGCCTTTGCTGGGATGTGAAGTAGAGGCAACTGTGGGAGAAGTCGTTACAAATACATGGCTGGTAAGAAAACACTGTCAGTCACAGTGTGGTATTGAAGGGTATTTGAATGAATGCCAAGAGTACGAGTGTTTAGTTCTTAGGTAGTTTTGCTTATGTAAATTCACATTTGGGTTTGAGTAGTATCTGGACTTTGCTTTTACCAGAGGAAATGTTTAAAGTACACAATTGTGCAGACCTCTTGTCCTGATCCTGATGGAGCAGACATTACTGTCCCAGGGATCACAGTAACAACATTCATTATTTTTCTTTTTTTCTGAGACAGAGTCTCACTGTGTAATTCAGGCTGGCCCAGGCTGGATGCGAACTCCTGGCAATCCTCCTGCCTAAGCCTTCCAAGTGCAGGGATTACAGGTGTGCACCGCCACACCTACCCCTTAGCAGGCCACTCTGGGTCTTCCCTTACTATTTATCTTTCCTCACAACCAAAGTATGATGTGCTTTTTCAACATCTCAAGAATTAAAGTTGAAAACCTGGGCATGGTGGTACAGTCCTGTAATCCCAGCACTTGGGAGGCTGAGGCAGTAGAATTACCATGAGTTTAAGGCCAGCCTGGACTACATAGCAAGTTTAAGGCCACCCTGCATTACATTACATAGTGAGACCCTGTCTCAAAGGGACAGGGGTGATAAACTAATACATTGGAAGCAGTTGATTTTGAAAAACATTAACTCTAATAATCTATGTGATTTTAACATCTGTAATGAATTGATGTTTATATTTTTCTTTAAATATTTTAATTATATTGAAAATGAGCAGAGATAGGTTTCTATTACATGAAAATGTTATTGAAACTAAAACTGGTACTATAATTGAACCAGTGTTGATCTTTATCCGGGTTGACTTTACTGTTTTTCTTGTTTTTAAAAGGTTACTTGTATAGACTATCAGACCTTATTTGATCCAAAGTCAAATCCTCTCTTCACACCAGTCCCAGTCATGACAGGAATGACGCCTTTACAGGACTGTGTGCTTTCATTCAGCCAGTATGTTGGAGCAGAAAAAGATTCTCTGATATTCTTAGCAAATCACCTTGGAGCAAGGTATGGAATGGTTTTAGTGTACCTGCTTTTGTGTACTTTTTAATCTGTTTTGATGTACTAGAAAGCATTGTAAATAGAATTTGGCCAGGTATTTTTATTTGTGAGTAAGGAATGCCGTATCTGTCAGATGGCTCAAGATGATGGAGGGCAAGATGCAATGAGCTGGATGTCTGGCAAACATTTGAGACTACAGGCGTTGACCAGATGTGGCAAATGCCTCTAATCCTGACATTTGGGAAGCTGAGGCAAGAGACCCAAAAGTTTGAGACCAACCTGAGCTAAGTAGTAAGTTTGAGGCCAGCCTGGACTACACAATGAGACCCTGTGAGGAAATAAAAGAAAAAACACACTCTAGGCTTCAATGCTGTACTGGTTTAGCAATTAGGAGGACTGTTTAATCCTGATATATGCGCTCATATGTAAATGCTTATCGGAGCATTATACCCTTCCGTGTACCATATGGATTTATTTGTCTTACAGTATACATTCATTGTTTCTCTTGTTTTCAGCCAGAAATGTAAATAGTAAGCAGACAGTGACTACTTCGAGTGAAAGAAAATGAATTTTAAAGTTACTTCCAAAATCCATATTAGCCCAGTCCTAATTTATCATCAGATGATGGCTGTGTAAAAAAGAAGCAGCTTGATGTGATGCAATCCTAGCTATCTGGGAGGCTGAGGCAGGAAGATCACAAGTTTGAGACTAGTCTGGATAACTTAGCAAGATCCTGTCACAAAATTTTAAAAGTGGGAGAGGTGCTGGGGATATAGTTCAGAGATAGAGTATTTGCCTAGCACACATAAGGCCTTATATTCAATCCCCAGTACCATCTATAAAAAAGAAAAAAGACAAAAGTAGGGACGTGTTAATACCAATAAATACAAATTAAGCTCTACATTAAAATACTTTTAGATTAGATCATAAAGTAAACTTCAACTACTTTTAAAGAAAAATGATTCAGAACGTTGTGGAGGAATGGTTGGCAAAGACATAAGTGCTTAAGAAAAAGGTTGCAGTTTTACTAGCAAGTTTGAATTTATATCAAAAGTCATTAAGAAAAAAGCATTGTAAATAATGCTATTCACATTGAAGATAAAATATAAACACTGATTGAAAAAATATGGCGAATCTTAATTTTTTTTACTTTATTACAGTAAAACATACATTGCTAGTAGTTAATTCCCGTTGGAGTACTTCCTCTTGCTTTAAACACTTGCCCCATCATTCTCGCCGGTTTCTGAAGTGGTTTTGAAAAAAGCCCTTTTACATCATTTCAAAACATTTACCTTTCATGATCATTCTGACTTCGGAGAATATCCAGAAGTCGCATGGTGCTACATCTGGTGAGCAAGGTGGATGAGGGCAGGCACATCTGCTGTAATTGCTGCAGTCCTGCCTTTTCACTGGGTACTGCTGGGCAACAGCATTTACTGAATTTTTTTATCATACCTCATAAAGACATTTAGCAAAAAAGAATTTCCAAACTTGCTCCAGAAAGTGGCAGAAATGGTGGAATCAGTGTGTTCAGAGGTAGGGGGAGAATTTTGAGAGGTGGTTTATGGCATTGTGTCCCTTACTTAGTAATAAATTTTAAAAATCTGAAAAATTTTAAAAATTGTATATTTTGATCACACCTCATATATATCTATACCAAAGATGACATCATTCATAAGACAAAAACAGCAAAAGTGTGAAGAATTGAAAACTTTTTAATTGTTCTTGGTTCAAAGAAGAAATCAAAACCATTTATAAACCTGAAAATAATTACTAACTCAGTAGTACCAGGCAACCCAGATTTTAATCTTAAAATGTTATTTCCCACTAAAGCTAAAGCTTAAAGAAATGGTTAATTACAGATTTGGGGGAGAAAATGTATAAGTGAATCTGAAACATTTTGTCAGGCAGGAGGGCAAAGATATTATCAAAGACTACTAGGGAAGGTGGTATCAAAAATACCTCCACTTGCCAAATACAGGAAAACTTAGGTATCATTAAAGATAATTGCACTGGATTCAAACACAGCACATAATGTTGAAATCATGACTTCACAATGGTACTGTAGAAACTAAGGTATTTGGCCACCTTTGAAAGATGCTCAGGAACTCACCTTTTATTTTGAAGGCTGACAATAAGAAGAGGATTAGCTGTTATCCTGCCATTTCAGTACAGTGTGCATTAGGATAACATGTAGGTAGATAAAGCAAAATTGCCCTTTGTAGGGGTATGCCAAAAAACGAGAGAGGATAGGACTATAAACCCTAATGAGTGAGAGAATCTCGGCACTAAAGGTTAATAGTTAATGCAGTAAAAAGACAGCCAAAATACACCATCCCTTGAAGTCTTGCCAAAATAATCAAACCTTAGTCTGATGTTGCCTTTTTGATCCAGCTACTGATTTATAGGAACTATAGAAGAAGAACATGTTAAACTACATTTCAGTAATAAATCAGCAAAATCCAGGCTTGCTTAGAATTTATAATTGCTTATAAAAGCAATTCAGTGGTGTAAATACTGTAGTGTCTTCAGTTAGTATACGTGAAGGGAATGAAAAGTGTAGAGGAACCTGTAAGCTAAAACGAAAAGCTTCGGTATGTGATTAATGAACAGTGAAGGGGTGATTGCCATAGATGTTCAAGTAGTGGTTACCATTAGGCTGGAGGAAAGGGAATGGTGTGGCACACTGGAGAGATTCTGTCTCAACACGGGTAGTGAATATAAGGGTTTGTACCATATAATAACTCATTAAGCTGTATATGTATGTGTATATATGTATATATATATATATAGGTTCTGTATTTTAATTATATTAAGCAATACTTTTTTAAAAAAAACTGAAATTACAGAAAACAGCAGTAACAAACACAACAACAGACTCCATTGGATACAATTAAAGCCATGCTCAGAAAAATTCAGAAAAGTGGCTATGAGAAAATTAATACATAGACATCTATGACTTTCCTGTGAACAACCAGGGAGAAGAACTAGTAGGGGAAAGGGCAAATTTATTTTGAAGCTTGGAAGAGCTATGGAAAACTTACAAATGTTTTTGAGGGAAATAAAATAAATTTGGAATAGTAGACAGAATTTGCATGTTCTTGGGAAAGAGGACAAATAATCATGCCTTTGTCCTCTTTGTGAATATATAACATTAACATGAGTCCAGTAAAAAATATAGTAGTCTTCCCTTGTCCTTCAAGGATGTATTCTAAGACCTCCATTATATGTCTGAAACTGTGGATGATGTTAGAGCCTCTCTATTTACTATGTTTTATCTGATATATACATATGTTCTTAGGATAAAATTAAATGTACAGCATAAATTAGGCCTAACGAGATTAACATTAAGCCAGGTGTGGTGGCACATGCCTGTAATCCCAGCAGTTGGGAGGCTGAGGCAGGAGGGTTGATACTTTTTGAGGCCAGTCTAGACAGCAGAGCACAAGACTGTCTCAGAAAACAAACAAAAAGCCAAAAACAAAAAGATTAGCAACAATAAGAAAAAAATTTGTTTTTTAAACAACTATAATAAAAAGTTATGTAAATATGGTTTCTCTTGGTGTGAGCATGCATGTGATCCTCCCTAATCTGATTTCTGACCCATCTACTAAGTGACCCATGGGCAGGCAGCACATGCAGTGTGGATACACTGGACAAAGCAGTGATTCACATCCTGGGTGGGATAAGTGGGCTGTGAGATTTCATCATGCTACTCAGATTGCTGTGCAATTCACAACTTAGGAGTTGTTTATTTTTGGATTTTTCTACTTAATATTTTTAGACTACAGTTGACTGGGGAACTGAAACTATGGATAAGGTGTGACTGCCATACCAGAGCAATTTTTTTAGGGAGGGCACTAACCAAACTAATTCCAAAGTTTACATGGAAAGATTAGTAAGCAGGAAAGTCACAAAAATTCTGAGATGGAGTAGTTGGGGCTTGTCCTGACAGTAAACTGCAGTGTGTAAAACCTCACTCAAAAACTGAGTATAAAAAAAAACTTCAAAGCACAAGGTCGTGAGTTCGGTTCCCGGTACCGGAAAAAAAAAACCAAAAAAAACTTCAGTGAATGAACAACTATAGTGATAAACCTAATACAAACAGCCATCGAATTGTTAAGAAAGATAATAAGATGCGATAAAGTTGGAGCCATGTTTCATACCAAAGTTAGTACCAATGGGATCAGTGGGTTCAATGTAAAAACTGAACTACAAAAGCACTAGGAAAGACTTAGCAGATTAGAAAATGTTTGAAAAGTTAGGAGCTGGGACGGTGATGGCAGCCTTTTAGAGCTTTCGGTGATACAGTCTGCTGCGGCACACGTGCCACAAGTTCACCGCCACTGAGCTGCAGAGTGAGGTTCAGGAGTGAGCAGAGACTGAGTTCTGTCCGTCTCTCAACTGCTGGACTTGTGTTTCTGCCCCGTGGTCTCTGTTTACTATCATCTGCTCTTGAGCAAGTCACTTAATATACTTTTTGCCATATCTGTAAAATTATACTATTTCACAAATATGAGAGGATCAATTGAGATTATATGTGATAATATTATTTATGTACTTTGCTCCTATATTTGCTGCATGCCTCCTTTCAGGAGGAAAAGACAGGTGAGTAATGACTAAATAAAGAGGTACTGTCCTTGGTCTTGAAAGTCTTTATGTTTGTATGAAGTATAAGTGGTATAGCAGTATAATTTTATCCTAGAATAAGTCCTTGTAACGGAATTCACTTAATTTCATGTAGAACATGCCAGTTTTTAATCACTGTATGTTTTCTCAAACTTAAGTAACTTAATAGAAACTTTATTCTTAGTTTACTGGCTAATTGTGTGTGTGACGGTTTGCTTTTCTTTAAATATAAATTTCAGTGTTCAAGAATACTTTGTTCGCAAATCCAATGCAAAGAAAGGCATGCTTGCCAGTACACATCTTATATTGAAAGAACCAGTTGGTTCTAAGTACCAAGCTGCAAAGAAGTGGAATTTACCAGCAGTCACTGTCGCTTGGCTGTTGGAGACCGCTCGGACGGGAAAGAGAGCAGAGGAAAGCCGTTTTCTGATTGAAAATTCACCCACAGGTTATTGCTTCTCTGTTATTCCATGTGTACACTTCATTACTTGATAGTTTCTGAGAAGTGCATGTTCGAAAACTTGCTTTAGGAAAGATTGTTTATTTTTGTTTTTCATTTTGGGTGCAGTAATCCACTACTGAGCAATTGATATTGGATGGCAAAGTGACGTGTGTCTGCCACCAACGCTTACTTTATATTGTACTATCAACCATAAGTACTGTCTGAAAGCTCGTGGGTACAAAACAATGTAAGGATGTTGGGGGTTCTCAGAGTTTGAACATGAATGATGTGAGCTTTTATCTTCTTTACTCTTAATTCCTTATGTGGCTTACATATGTGCTCTTTTCCTGCTTTTCTTTGGGCTTTTGTACATTTCCTTAAAACCATTTCATGCTCATTGGCTTTTCCAGTTTTTTTTTCCCAGTGCTGGTGATTGAACCCTTAGGTAGGCACTGCTTTTCTTGCCAAAACATTTTGTTTTGCCGGGCATGGTACTGCATGCCTGTAATCCCAGCATCTGGGAGGCTGAGGCAGGAGGGTCGCTGTGAGTTGAGGTCAGCCTGGGCTACTAAGAGAGTTCAAAGCCAGCCTGAATTGCATAGTGAGATCCTGTCTCAAAAAGAGCACCTCCCCCCAAAAAAACCCAAAAACATTTTGTTCTGCCCTTATATGGTTCTTATACCAGTTCTTTTGTGTCTCTGCACTGAACTATAAACCCTGTAAAGGCAAGGTGCTTGCATGTCCTGTGACTTTTGTATTTTCACTGTCTAGCATTAGGCCTGGCATGGGGGAGTCATTGAGAACGTGTTTTGCTCTTATGTTCAGTAGTGAGAAAGGTAGAAAGAGGCAAGGGTGGGATGACACAAACCTCTGCATGGTGACTTCAGGGGCAAACTTAAAGGATAGGTCAGTAGCTTAGGAACACTTCTCAGAGCCATGAAGTATTTACCCAACTAGGATGGGAATTTATGATGGACACACAAGTGAGTATAGGGCATATTAAAATGTCTTGGTGGACATTGCAAAAACTTGACTGTAGTTGAGATTTTGTTGTCTTTGCAGCATGGGGGATGAAGCCCAGAGCCTGGCTCATGCTAGGCAAGTGCTTTACCACTGAGCTACGTCCCCAGTGATTTTTATTCTTCTGTTGCTGAAGTTGATATTTTTTGATGCAATTATGACAAGTGGGTTTATTGAGATTTTAGTGTTTAACAAAATGAAATAGTCTGTGTTTATTAATTATTTGTTTTAGTTAATGCTTTTCCTGTAAAGTGTATGTTTTAACACATTACCTGGTTTCCTTTTTAAAGACTAGGAATATAACTTTATGATTTAATGTGTTCCTGAGACTTGACTTGAAAACTACCGTAAGGTAGCTGAGTATAATGACACATACCTATAATTCCAGCACTGGGTGCTGAGGCAGGAGGATCACTAAGTGCAAGGTCAGCCTGGGCTACATAGTGAATTCAGAGCCAGTTGAAGTACATAGTGAGTCCCTATCTCAAAAAAACCCAAGAGTAAAAAAGTAAATTTAATTAAATTAAAAAATAGAAAAAAACCATGTACTAATGAGATAGAAGAATATCACCTTGTGTGCTTCTTTAGAGGAAAGAATGAGGATATTAGTGGTTCATATTTGTTTTTTTCATTTTAAATCTTTAGAACAAAAGTTGGAAGCTGAAATAACAAATGGAGAGACGCTAAATCCACATACTTCAGTGTGCCCTGCCACCCATGTGGAGCCTATCAGAAAAATGGCCATTACACCTTTGGATATGAACCGCTTTCAGAGTAAAGCTTTCCGTGCTGTACTGTCACAACACACTGGGCAGGTTCCAGCCTCTTCAGCAGTAGAAAAGCTACTTCAGAAGGAGCCCTCAGTACACCTGGACACACCATCAAAATTTCTGTCTAAGGACAAACTCTTTAAGCCTTCCTTTGATGTGAAGGTAAGTTTTAAAGGTAGTCCTACTTAAAGTTGCAGTTTATAAAGTTAAAGCCTGAAATTCTGCAAAGTTTGTTGTAATAAATTTTCCAGAGATGTTAGCAGGTAGGTTTATAGTATAGTACTGAATACTCAACTCTATTGTTATAATGAAGTCAGAATTCAAAGTTTACATAACAGCTGTTCATATGTATGGTGTGAAATCAGAATATCCTGGTTCAAGTCCTAAATCTGCCATGAACTGTATAATTCTAGACCAGTGGTAGCGAACCTACTGCATGTGTGCCACAGTGAACTGTGCTGTGGAAAGTTCTGAAAAGTTCAACGTCACTTCTCTAGGCAGTTCATTTAAGCTAGCTGAATACCACTTTCTCCTTTTAAACAAAGAAGCTAGTATTTGACCTGAAAATGGACAGGTATATTGTAAGAATCGAATGAGAGAGTGTGATAAAATGAATTTATAAGCTGTAGAGATAATGTGAACACATTCCTGTGTATGTATACACTCCACGAGTGCACCCAGGGTTTGCTTTCTGAAGATGTCCGTAGCGTCAGCTTCCTTTTCAGTCATTTCCCTTAGAGGAGATGAGTGGGGTGTGTTTCTTTATTTGATCTGAGTAGTATTGTCCTGAGTAGAATTTCTGAAAAATTCATTTGAAAATCAGAGGCTAATGTAGCCTTTTCAAATGGTTTCCTTTTATTTCCCAAAGAAGGTTTTTTTACTTTCTCTTAGTAGTTTTTGGCTTTTCAAGTTGCTATTCAAATCATGCCTATGATTTCTTTATCCATGAAACTTTACAAAGTTACTCTGCCCATCAATCTATTGGTGTTTTGCCCATATTACAGCAGCTAATCTCTTGATGTTTAGGAATAGCATAGCTTACAGCATCATTTTAGTAAGTTTTGCTAGTGTGTTTCAATGCACACTTACTGTAAAGTTTGCAAGTTGTTCATCTTCAGAAAATAAATACCAATTCATACCCGGGAAATTCCAAGCTAATTTATGTCTTTATCCTTGAATAATTCCAGTGACTGACATGGGGAAAAAAGTCTTTCTTGTTGTAACAAACTCAGAATTCTGAGCACACGCATGAAATCTCCTCTGAAGTAACGTTTTGTACTGTGGTTAACACTCTTGCTTCTCATACTTTAAGAAGTAAAGGAAAATCTCTGCCTTGGGAACTGCAAGATCTGGAATGGGCCTTTTCCCCTCTTTCTGCCTTTTCAAACTAGTTAACTTCTTTGGGTCTCATCATTTTTGTCTGTAAAACCATGGACTGAATCCAAATGATCTCGACGGTCTCATGCTCACAGTCCCTGTGAAGAGCAAATGAAATAGTATTAGTAGGCAAGAGAATAGTCACAATATTTCCAGCCCTTTAGACCATTCTTTTATGGACACCTTGAGTGAAAGCTACAGTTCTGAAGTAGTCTCACACAAAAAAAGACCCACATTTAAAGATTTGTTTAGAATTCTAGTTTATTTTGCAGTATCTCCTCCCTCCCTTTTTCCCATTCATGGTAGTATGTAAACTTCCTGTTAAAATCATTGGTTTGTCAAACTGACGTGATAGCATACGTTGAGTTCTTTACTGAAAACATAGATATGACCCTGGAATGATCACAGAATTGTTCATTTATTAGGCCTCAAAAATAAAAACCAAAAAATTAGCTCCTAAAATTAATTTTTTCATTGGCACACATTAACGTTGTGCATGGTGGTAGAATTCGGTAGTGTCATCACTCTGGGAGGCTGAGACAGGAGGAATGCAAGCTCAAGCTCAGCCCTGGGACAATTTAGCAACTTAGTGAGACCCTCTTTCAAAAGTTAAAAAAACAAGTACTGAGTTAAAAAAACAAGTACTCAGTGCAAAGATTCTGGGTTCAATCCTCATTACCACAAACAAAATAAAACAAAAAAACTACAATAAATGTATTACTAATTGAAAAGCACTGTTAACAGTTGAGAATTCATTTTGCTTTTCTCTCACTATTTCCTTCATAAGAGGTGACTCCTGCTTTTCACACTAGCTTAATTATGCTTTTCTTGAGTGTCTGATTTATATCTATCCTTGTGTGTTTCCTACTGTGCTTTATTTTTGTGTCCTTTTTTTTTTTCCCAGTACCAGGAATCAAACTCAGGACCTTGCACTTGCCAGGCAGGTGCTTGTGCCACTGAGATATATCTCCGGCCCATTTCTGACTTTTAAGTAAGTTGCAGCAAATGGATTAGTTTGAGTCTGTTGTTTCTGTTCATCTTCCATTTAGGATATTTGTCCATGTTGCTTCATGTAACTATGTTATTTACTCAATTATGTGGACATACACAATTTATATTTCTAGTACTGTACAGGGCATGAGCATTTAGGTGGCTAGTAGGTTTTTATTCTTACAAAATTAAGTTACTGGGTCATATTTTACTGTTAGTAGAGAATGAAAACTATATGCCCAACAAATACCATTAAAGTCTTTAATTTCCATTCTGCAGGACTTTTGTTTTTTAACTTCTAGACCTGTTGCATTGTCCTTAGAGTATTTTACTATTTGTACTTGGCAGAACTTAACAGATGTTTTATGCTCTGATATTTGATGGATATTTTTAAAGAATATTCTTTGAGAAGATGATTAATGTCTCCCTGAGGGAGTGATATTTTATATGTATCCAGTATATCAACAAAATGGTGTGCACTTATTTGTTGCATCACATGCCAGCAAAAGATTATTAATCTAGAGTTCATCATTGGGACCAGATTGAATATGTTCTGATGTGTACGTGGCCTGTATGTGCAGAGGAAGAAGATAACGAGCAAGCCCCTCGGGCAGTAGCTGCCTCTCAGAAAGGGATTGTGGGTGCTGTGGGAACAGGAATATATTTTACACAGTTAAAGATTTTTCACAATTCTCAGGTTATTCTGACTCCTTTTTGTTTTTTAGTTTATGTCTGATTTATATCCATCCTTGTGTGTTTCCTACTGTGTTTTATTTTTGTGTCCTTTTTTTCTTTTTTTTTTGGTACTGGGAATCAAACTCAGGACCTTGTGCTTACCAGGCAGGCGCTTATGCTGCTGAGCTATATATCCCCAGCCCTTTATATATATAAAGGATATATAAAATATATCCTTTATTTTAACTGCCGCTTTAACTCTTAAGATTCATGTAAATGTAGCGTGAACTGTTAAATTCTAAGCCTAGTAGTCTCCTTGAACAGATTTGCTGGACAGTAGGGATTTATTTTTCTTCATAATATGCAGATATAAATTATAGTTCATTCTCTTTGCTGCTGTTTGGGTGAAAACCAGAGGCAGTTAATGCTATAACACATTAATTGTGAAGAGTTCTTCCTCCTCCTTATTACACCCCTTGACCTGCCTTCCTCGTTTCCTTCCTTCCTTATTTACTGCTTTCTCTCCCTTCTTTCTTCCTCCCCTCCCGCAACTTCTCTTTCAAATACATAGGATGCACTTGCAGCCTTGGAAACGCCAGGAGGTCCCAGCAAGCAGAAAAAGAAACTGAGTCCACCACTCTCGGAAGTCATTGTCAGAAATTTGAAACTTGCTTTGGCAAATAGCTCTCGAAATGCTGCTGCTCTTTCTGCCAGCCCTCAACTGAAGAACACCCAATCAGAAAAGGTAGACTTATTCTCTTACTATGTGGACATTTTAGTTGAAACATTTCAAACAACAATGTCTAGTCTGTTGTTTCCCCCTACATACAGGAAGAAGCTCCGAAGCCACTTCACAGAGTTGTCATATGTGTGAGTAAAAAACTCAGTAAGAAGCAGAGTGAGCTGAACGCGATTGCAGCCTTCCTAGGAGCAGAGTACAGGTAGTGCACTCCTTCCTGTTCGGAGATAATGTGGCCTAAGAAAACCCAAGTTACTGTGAGCATCCTCAAAAATACATGTACTTTTGCTCTTCAGTTTGTAATGCTATCTGTAAACTCTCCAGTTAAGTTTTAACTTGCCACAGTCTTTGAAAATGCTCTTTCATTTACCCATGCGTGTGTACGTGTTTCTTAGGGTGTAGTTAACAAATACTTGGGAACCTGTTTGTTTACTCATTATTGTAGAAACTTGGGATTCATGTATGATCAGTAGAGTTTAAGTTCCTGTGTTCAGAGTTTATAGTCCAGTCATCCCCTAGAACCTGAGATTAATCTCATTTTTACCTTAATGATTTTCAGATTAGAGCTCTTTTATGCATAGTACTGAGTACTCCCCGGCCCTCCAGAATGAAGATGGTCTGTTTTCAGCATGTTTTAATTTGTATCTGTTTTTCTTTTTTTCTTAAGGGAAGGGTTTGGGGCTGGTGATGTAGCTCAGTAGTAGAGCACCTACCTAGTGTCCATGAGGCTCTTGGTTCAATGCCCAGCACTGCCAAAGTCAGACAGGCAGATACAGGGTCTTGCTGTGATGCCCAGGTCCTCCCTCAGTCTTTTAAATAGCTGGGACTGTAGGCACTCCCCTGGCTAATGTGTGTCATTTTTAAGACTTTAGAGACATAGTCTGTTGGATGCACCACTAACCTGAAAGCATAGGCTAGAGACAGCTTCCTAGCTAGGGGAGAGACTTGCTTCCTCTCTCTGTTGATTCCTAGTATCTACCTGTCCATAGGTAACATAGTGGTTGGCTTTATAGCTGAGAGTTTGAGAAATAGACTTAGTTTTATCTTCCCATTTAATTTTATTTCAGTGAAGTTTTCTACTTGATAAATTAGGTGAAGAGAATATAAAAATAAAATTATCTGTAATACTTATAAACATCTGTTTAATGCATCTGTTGTTGGCAGTGAAGCTTTCTTATTATTTATATTACCTATTTGTAATATCCTTAATTGTGTAATTACCTGTTATTACATTTTATTACTGATGGCTGAGCATTATCTTTTTTCTTTCTCATAGTAACCTGCTAGAGGGTATGTTTCATAAGATTTAAAATGCCAGTCCTTTCAGTATTAAAAAATAGAATTTATTGTTGAAATTCCTAAGCAGAATTTAACTGTTCAATTACATTAATTTAAAGTTTGCCTTAAATTTCTTCTTGAAAGGCAGGCAGGATGGCACACTCCTGCAATCCTAGCAGCTCAGGAGGCCAAGACAGAAGGATCAAAAGTTCAAGACAAGCCCAACCAACTTAGCGAAACCCTGTCTCAAAAATGATGTGTCTCAGTGGTAGAGTTGTTCCCACTACCACAAAAATAAAATGAAAAATCTGTTCTTGAAATGGATTTCTCAAACTTGGTAAATGATTAAAAGGCAACCTTTTAATATCAGGGTTACAGTATTTATGTGTTCACTTGGGTAACCCATTCTCAAATAAAGGTATCCTAAGCATGCCCTTCCGTGATCTAGATTAGACTGTCTTCATTGAACAGATTATCTGATACTGTTTCTACGTGGTTTTGTTAGGACGTAAGACAGTCATGCAGGGTATGGGATACTTGTGTGACTATTCTTTAGAATTTCTAGCATTCCTGGACCTTACCACATAGTATATGAATACATGGTTTTTTTCTTTTCTAATCAGATTTTATTGGTACATTTTAGATATACATAATGATCGCATTCATCAGAGAGAATTTGTACCTGTACATGATATAACTTGTTTCTTTTTTTTCTCCACTCCCCTACCCTCTCTTTAACCCGTCTTCCCCTCCCTGTTTACAGAAGCTTTGTTTCTATGTTTTTCTTCTTTTCTTTTTTTTTTTACTTTTCCCTTCTTCCCTTTCTCCCTCCTCTCTCTGTTCCCCTCCCTATTTGAACATTTTCTCCCTATTTCATGATACCTATGTACACATTTTAGTTTTATTTATACTTTTGGTTTCTCACACCAGAGAAACAACATGGTACTTACACGTGTGTCCGGTTTATTTCACCTAAGAGTATGGTCTCCAGGTACATCCATTTACCTAGAAATGTCTCGAGTTTATCCTTGTTTGTGGCAGAGTAATACTCCATTGTATAAAAAAAAAAGAACACATATTTATACCATTCACCTGTTGATGGCATTTGGACTGTATCCAAGATTTAGCTATTACAAACTGTGCTGCTATAAACAGGACTGTGCATATATTGCTGTGGCGTGATGCTTTTAATTCTTTTGGGAAGGTACCAAGAGGGGGAATAGCTGAGTCAAGTGGAACCTCTAGGAGGAATCTTTATAGTAATTTCCACAGTGGTTGCATCAGTCTACTCTCCACCAACTGGAGAAGGTGAATGTATTATTGTAACAACCAGTCACCCTGACAAATTTCTAAAGTATCTCTTGGAGCGAAGTGACTATTAGGGATGCCAGGTGTGGTAGCATATGCTTGTAATTCCAGCACTTGGCAGGCTGAGGCAGGAGGATCACCACAGTTGTGAGGCTAGCCTGGGCCTCATAGTGAGTTCAAGGCCAGCTTGGACTACATAGCAAGACCCTGTCTCAAAAAAAAAAAAAACACGGTTGGTGATAACACTTAACCTGGACCAAGGTCAGTAGGTTGGCCATCTGCTTCTGTAGTAAAGTTTCATTGGAACCCACCAATGCCTGTTACATATGGTTTTTGACTGCCTTCATCTAAGGAGGGAAAAGTTGAGTAGTTACAAAGAAAATTGACCTGCAGGGCCTAAGGCACTTACCACCTAGCCTATAAGAAAAATTTGCCCATTCATGATCTGTGTCATCTACAGCCACTAGTAAAGGACTTTGGAAGACCACAGCTCATAGCTTCTATGTTAATTATCACAGTGACATTAAAAGATAAAACATTGATTCAAGCAAAAGCACCTCTATTTTTCTGAATTGTCTGAATTTTTAAATATATAAACTTGTCAGTGTGGTGGTGCACACTTGCAGTCCCAGCACTAGGGAGGCTGAGGCAGGAAGATTGCCATGAGTTTGAGGCCAGCCCAGACTACATAGTGAGACTGCCTTCAAAACAAAACTTTATTTAAATATTTAAAGAAAATATCAAAGTACTGATATTTAAATACTGTGTACCTTGACAGCAATTAGAGAGTTATTAGCACTAATAATTAGGCAGAGTATATTTTTAATATTTTTTAAGGATACACAGGGCAATGGAAAATAGAGATGCTTATAATTTAGACACTTGTAATATTGCTTCTTAATTTGCTTAACTTTTGCCTGTTTGAAACGTTCAGGGATATTTGTTATTTGGGAAATGGAAAACATACTAAGTGTCCACAAGACCTAATTTGGCAGTTATTTCAAAAGTATTGGAAATATTTCTTTTTCTAGACAGGGTGTCTCTGTGCAGTATAGATTGGCCTTAAACTCACTGTGTATCCCCGGCTGGCCTCCAACCTGTGGCAATCCTCATGCCTCATCCTCCCCAAGTGCTACGATTACAGATGTGCCATGCTCAGCTAGAAGTACAGTTTTTATTTCTTTTTCATTTTTACTTGAGCTTTGGAAAGGTGATGTTTTACATTTTTCAGATTATTTTCCTAGAATATTGCAGGGGAAGAATCAGGACGTTTTAGCATACTGAGTTCACAGCATGAATTTTGAAGTCAAACTTGGTTCTCTGCTTACTGAATGTCTTCAACCGATTCTTTAACTATGTCCCTCAGTTCTTATCTATAAGATGGATGTCATGCCAGCGTGTCAGGGTTCTCTGAGGAGTGAGTGAGATGATGATAGGAAATGTGCACTGTCTGTTGTGAGCGTAGACCAAATATATAATGAATAGTGATAACCAGCAACTAGGGGACAGATTTGGATGTTTTACAACATTTTATTAATTTGAAAATACCTTTATTTTTACTATAAAATGATCACATTATGAAAGAAAATTGAAAGGGTTCTGCAAAGTATAAAGAATAGCCTTCGAAACTTGTCTTAGTCAGTTTGTCCTTTGGGTCACAGTAACCGATACCCACAAGTGAACGGAGGAGAGGTTTGTTTTAGCTCACAGTTTACAGTGCGGTCCTCAGGCCCCAGCTCCAAGGCAGGAAGGCAGCGTGGTAGAGAGCTCTGGCAGAGGTAAGCTGCTCACACCATGACTGCCAGGGAGGAGAGAGTAAAGAGGCAAGCTAGAGGCGGAGGTGATGCACCCTTCAGAGCAGGCCCCCCTCCTAACAGCATATTTAGCTATAAATTCATAGCTGGACTAATCCACCAGTGAATTAAGTGCCCCATGAACCAGTCACTTCCCAAAAGCCTCACCTACTAACTCGTGAGACTTTGAGTGGCATCTAGCTATAAACCATGAAAACATCTCTGCATTTGTATACCTTGAGATGTGTACCTAAAATTTGCCAACCAGTAAGTCTACAGTTGGATGGTCTTGCTGAAAGTTCTGTGTAGGTCCAGATATGCTGTTCATGGTGAAGAGTGATCCTCTTAACCAGTGGGGATATTTCTCTTAGTTACTTGTGTTCATGTATTTGGTTGTTTCAGGTGGAGTTTTGATGAGACAGTGACACATTTCATCTATCAAGGCCGGGCAAATGATAGCAATCGAGAGTATAAATCTGTAAAAGAAAGAGGAGTACACATTGTTTCAGAGCACTGGCTTTTAGAAGTAAGCAACGCTCCCCCCGTCTTCTCTTTAGTTGGAAATGTGTAACATTTCAGAGTACAGACCAGATCAGCGTGTGTAAAGAAGTGTGATGACCTTGGTTAGCTGTAGGCACACCACGGCAAGAGCACCTGGTGGAGCACTACCTCATGGCTGGAAAGTAAAAGAGAAAACGGGATTTGGAGTCCACGGGCCCTGCAAGGGCATGTCCCCAAACACTTCCCACTTTTAGTCCCAAGCTGACCAACTCTCTGACACATGGGCGTTTGGAGGATGGTAAAGATCTAAATCGTATCACAGTACACATTTCCTTTTCTTTTTAATTCTTCCCCCCCCCCAGTACTGGGGATGCAACCCAGGGACTGCCCACATACATTTTGAGCTCTTTTTTTGAATTTTATTTTGACACGGGGTCTAAGTTGCCCAAGCTGACCTTGATCTTGCCATCCTTCTGCCTTAGCCTCCCAAGTAGCTGAGATTACAGGTGTGTACACCCAGGCCACATTTCATGCAGATCTGTAATGGGTACTCTTTTCGACTTTGATTACTTTTAGTAATTAAAAATGGTACAAATGAAAATTTTATAATTTGAGAATTTCACAGAAATTTTCACTGTAAACTAAAATTCTTAAAACTAACTTTGTGAACCTTTATCATTTTATAACATTATTTTGATTGTCTTTATTATCCTGCTTAACATCTTTATTTGCTGAGGTTTTGCCCCATCCTATTTTCAAGCACATCATTGTTTTGCAGTGTGCCCAGGAATGTAAGCATCTTCCTGAATCCCTTTATCCTCATACTTACAATCCCAAAATGAGCCTGAATATCAGCGCAGTGCAAGATGACCGACTCTGTAATGGTCAAATACTTTCAGCTGTTTCTGCAGTAAAGGACAGTGAGGTAGGTGATGTGGACAACCCATACCTCTCCCTAAGCAGAATGTATAATCATAGATCTCATGGCTTCATTTGAGGAATTACAATTTTTCTCTTTGAATAGCTTGCTCATTTGCCTATAGAAGAAAATGATGTAGACAATATGACTACCAGTAACAAAGAATCAACACTGTCAAATGGAAGTGGAAGGAATGATTCTAAAGGAGGTAAAATGTTTTAAATTACAAAAAGAAATATTTTTATAAATATATATCAGATATACAAAATAGTTCTTTATGTCAGATAAAAAAATAAAATTAGGTATGTTGCTAAATACTAGCAAAGCATATATATGAGGACTGATTCTGGATTCTATGCCAATTATTAAGTAATAATTTATAAAGTTTTAAATGATTTAAGAGTGACACCTGTAGAACATGTGATACTAGGTATTTTACAGAGTTAGTATGATACAGCTCTATTTCATTAAAGATAGGCGTTAATGATTTTTTTAAAAACTTACTAACATAATCAAGGTGCAGGAGGAAGTATGAAGAGTGTTTCTCACCCTTGTTTCACAATATTAATTGATCTTCCTAGAGCTGTTTTATGCATATACAGTTATATATACACTATATATGTTTTCTCTTTCCCCATCTTTTAAAAAACACATTAAGTGTGGACTAACATACACCCTCTTTTATTTCTGTGGTGCTTGAGGATCAAACCCACGGTCTTATGCATGTAGGTAAGCACTGTACCACTGAGTTACAGGCCCAGCCTGTGTATATACTGCCTTGTACCTTGATCTTTTTGTTTCATAGTTCAGCTTGGGGATTGTTCCATATTGGTATAGGCAAACCTTGGAGATGTAGTACTGCAGGCTTAGTTCCAGACCACTGCAAATGTCACAAGAAAGCCAGTCACATAAATTTTTTTGGTTTTTCAGTGCATATGAAATGTCTCCTAAATAGGCAGTAGTATTATGTCTTTTAAAATATGTGCATAATTTAAAAATACTTTTATTGTGGGCTGGGAATGTCATTCAGTGGTAGAGTACTTACCTAGCATGTGCAAGGCCCTGGGTTCCATCCCCAGCAACTTAAAAAAAAAAGTTAAAAGGAAAAATCTTTTATTGTTAAAAAATGCGAATGACCATCTGAATCGTCAGGGAGACATAGTTTTCCTGCTGATAGAGGGTCTTGCCTCTGCTAACGGATCAGGTCACAGTGGTTGCTGACACATTTGCCACATTGACTCTTCCTTTCATGAAAGATTTCTCTGTAGCATGCATAGTACAGCTTCTTTCCACATTGGAGTCAAACCTGCCTCTGATTTGTCCACTAAGCTTACATAATATTCTGAATCATTTATTTCAAGTGATTACAGCATCTGTTTTTTATTATAGCATCTCTTTAGAGTAGATTTCATCTCAAGAAACCACTTTCTTTGAGTACCAGTAAGAAGCAACTCTCTGTTGAATAAAGTTTTATTATTGAGCTTTTGATGTAATTTCCTCACTAAGCTTAATCATTTCTAGCTTTTTATTTACGGGTAGAGGTACAACTCTTCCTTCCACTTGAACAGTTACAAGCTAGTGTAGGGTCTAACTGGACTAATTTCAGTATTGCTTCTCAAGGAATAGGAAGGCTTCAGGAAAGAGAGAGGGAGATGGGGAACAGAAGCGTCAGAGATCATTGGCCACATATCACCATAACAGATATGAGTGAGATATGGCTGTGCATAAGGAGCTGCTTCAGTCTTTTTATTTTTTAAATTTGCCTAGTATTCATTGTATGGTGGCCTGCTTTATTTTGCCATCTCTTGTTGATAGGCATTTATAGGTTATTTTTAATTTCTTACTATTATGGTGCTACATTTAATAACTTTACAGATATATCTGCTCTCTTTAATAGATTAGCACCTTCTGTTTTCCTGACTCAACCTGTCCTACCAGAGCTTTGCCTGTGACTTCCCTAGTTAGTTCCACTCTGTTCATTCTAAAAGCATTTAATGTCTACTTCAGTGTCTATTTAAAAAGTCAAAGGACTCATGTGTAGTCTGTGTTTTGGGCGGCTACCGTTGAAAGCGAGGCACACACATAGATGGCTGTCTTGTATCTTAGAGTGTGATACATGCTATAAGAATGGGTCGGAATAAAAAAAAAAAAAAGAATGGGTTGGAAGCAGACAGGGAGCTCTACAAAAGGACTCGTCACTACAGAGCTTTAAAGGTCTTCCAAATTATTTCATAATCAGTTCTGTGGTAAGGGCTGCCTTATAGTCTGATAGTCTGTGGAGTTCATAGCCTTAGAACATTACTATAGCCTTTGATAATTATTTAGTAAATGTCAGGCCAATAAATTTATGTTCAACCAGATCTAGACAAAATAGTTGATGTGAGTAAGACACGCTCAGAAAGAGAAGTTTACTTGATTGGTATATTTGTTTCAAGCTCTAACACAGACCTTGGAGATGAGAGAGAACTTCCAAAAGCAGCTGCAGGAGATAATGTCTGCAACCTCCATAGTGAAACCTCAAGGACAGAGGACTTCCCTGTCAAGAAGTGGTTGTAACAGCACCTCTTCAACCCCAGAAAGCACCCGCTCCACTCGCAGTGGGCGGAGTCGAGTCCTCGAGGCGCTGAGGTATGGACCTGTCACCAATGGAAGAGGTGCTGGGTGATTTGAGAGAGGTACCTCAGTTGGATGAGTTAGTCTTTTTTTTTTTTTTTTAAATAAGCAGTAAAGCAGAAGTTTAGAATATTAAGACCAGTGAAGGTATTGTATTACTGGGCCTTATTTTGTCCACATGATGTGTAATATATTCCGTTATTCCTGTTGGTTTTGGCCTGCTGAATAGATTTTCCTCTTTCTTTCCCTTGCTACTAGCAGTGTTAGAATTCTTACTTGGAGGTAGGAGTCTGACATAGAGGTTTATCCCATTGCAAGCACTGATTCCAGAAAGAGACATGATTAATACTTTTTACTGCAAAACTTTCTCTTTGACATTTAAATATACAGACTTTCAATCAAAATATGTTTAAATTTATGGGAGAAATGTTTCAAAAAGAAAACATTTCCCAGGGTTCATTTTTTCAATAAATATTATCAAATTGATAATATCTATCTATTGAAAACTCAATAGATAGAAATGATTTTAAGATTTACTTTACCTTATTTGAAAATCCTTTGTTCTTTAGTATTAAACATTGAATACATATATGCACACACATATTTTAAAGTTATTTCTTATTGGAACTTTGTGTGTGTTTTGGACTCTGTAACTGTCTTCTAGGAAAGGTGATTGCAGTTCTTAAACATACTTATCCCATCATTCTTGGCACTTTCTGAAGCATATCTGCAAGTCCTCTTTTATTAAGTGTCTTTATGAAATGTGATAAAAAATTCCCGTGCTTTAAGTACACAAACATAACTGTCTGATACAGGAAAATTGTATGATGATTATTAGTGGATTATATCTTCTAGTTGATTAATTGAACTATTGGTTTTCTTTTCTGAGGCCAGTTCTTTATATCAGTACTGAGTAAATTGGCTTTTGTTTAATATATTGCAGTTCATGTTTTATCATTATAGAGAATTTAAATCCTATGCCAAGTCAGGGTAAATAAATATACTCTTGAGAATAAAAGTCTGTCTTCCTTGTTTTAGAGGCAAAGGAACTTTCAGTTCCCCATCAGTTGGTATATCTTGTTTAAAATGAGTTGGCGGGGATATAGCTCAGTGGTGTGAGTGCCTGCTTGGCAAGTGCAAGGTCGTGAGTTTAATTCCCGGGACCAAAAAAAAGAGAAAAGAAGAAAAAAATAAAATGCATATATGTGAAGAATATAGCTGGCATTCTATCATTTCATGTGAATTTGTTATGATTATACCATGTGATTGTACCAAAAAATTCAATATAAGGTTGGTCCACCTTAGATTCTGGGAAATACGGTCAGCAAGGGCCAAAAGACTTTCTGAGAAGGAAGCCTTTACAGTAGGCTTCTCATTTAATTATAGTTCTTGTAATTTCAAATGATTAAAAATACAACTATTCAGCAAAGCAACCACAATTTTCTAAACATCATATTTTATATAATGAAGAAATACAGGGTTTTTAATGTAGCAATTATTTTAGAAGTTTTAGAAAATTTGACAGTGTTGGCTAGGCATGGTGGTACATGCCTATAATCCCAGCACTCAGGAGGCTCAGGCAGGAGAATAGCTGTGAGTTTAAGGCCAGCCTGAACTACATAGTAAAACCCTGCCTCAAAAAAAAAAAAAAACCAAAAATTTTTACAGTGTTAAACTTTCTCTTTGACATTTAAATATACAGACTTTCAATCAAAATATGTTTAAATTTATGGGAGAAACGTTTCAAAAAGAAAACATTTCCCAGGGTTCATTTTTTCAATAAATATTATCAAATGCCTACTTGGTGCTAGATGGTGGACATAAAAAATGAACCACAGCTTTTACAGTCTTGAATTTTGTGCATTTGTATTTTGTTGTGGCTGTTGATTTAAAATTGTCATTTTTCTTCCTTAGACAGTCTCGTCAGATAGCACCTGATGTTAACACAGAGCCCTCCCAGAATGAGCAGATCATTTGGGATGACCCTACAGCTAGGGAGGAGAGAGCAAAGCTCGCCAGCAATTTGCAGTGGCCTAGTTGTTCCACACAGTACTCAGAGCTTCAGGCTGATGTTAAAAAACTGGAGGATTCTCCTTTTCCAGAGCCTCTGTGCGATTCAAAAATTGCTGAAAAAGGTAATAAGAAAGAAATGTGTATGCTTATATTAGGTACATGTTGACTTCTTAAAGATAAACATGTTGTATTTCTCTTGAGTTGTACATATAATTGAAAAACTTACTAGGTCCTTTTATTTGAATTTAAATTTAAGAGTCAGAAAAATAATTTATAAGTTGAGGTACTTTATCACAAGTTTAAAAATATATTTTGATCTTTAAATTTGGAGATTGAGGATTAGGCGTTGTTTGCCCACACCTGTGTGGCGCTGTTGTTCTTTTATCAGTGTTTTCTGCATTTATTTCTCTCCCTGTTACCTTCTCATTTGACTCTTCTGCATTCTACCCAGCATGTACTTACAGTTGTTGTTTGGATTTTATGAGCTCTTTTGCGAATTATCTTACCTTTTTCTTCCGTAATTTTGATCGTGTGTCTGTGTCCTGTGTCCCACCCCCTGCGCTTTGCATGGTGCTGAGAATTAAACCCAGCGCCTTCTCATGCTAGGCAAGTGCTTTACCCCTGAGCTGTATTCCTAGCTCCTTCTGTGAACTTGACCTTGAAAACATGCTTTCTTTTTCTTTTCACTTTTTCTTTTTCACATTGCATGATTATTTTCCTACACTAGATGTATAGACTTATCTCTCATTTTGTCCAAGTAAGGAATTGCTTTAATTTTACAAATTTGGGTTATACTTTACTGATGAAAGCTTAGTAATTATAACAAGGATTGGAGAAACCCAGGTAACACACTTGTCCTTTTTTTTTTTTTTTTTTTTTTTTTTTGGTTTTTCTCTGGTACCGGGAACCGAACTCACGACCTTGCACTTGCCAGGCAGGCGCTTTTTGCCGCTGAGCTAAATCCCCAGCCCCACACTTGTCCTTTTAAACTAATTTTATTGCATGTACTTACAAGCGCTAGAAATAGAATACTCTTGTAGTTTTGCTTTTCTGTTCATTTATTTTCTTTTTTATGAGTACATACTTACAGTACATAATAATCACATTTACGTGGGGAGTTTGTGCGTGTACATGACACATCTGAATTCTTGTTTGCTCCTTTCCCCACCCTTCCCTCTCTGCTCCCTCCAACTCTTGTTCTTTCCATGTGAAAAAGCTCTATTTCTCATTTTGTCTTTGATGCTCTTTAATCACTTTTTTCTTCCTTTCCCCTTCCATCCATCTTTTGCTCATCTTCCCATTTGAAAAAGACCTCCTTTCTTCCTGTTATCTAGCCTTTATTTATAGTTTGAGTTTCTCATGTAAGAGAAAGCATGCAATGTTTAAACTTGTATGCCTTGCTTTATTTCATTTAACATTATGTTCTCAAAGTGCATCCCTTTACCTGCAGACGCTTCAAGATTTATCGTTTATGGCAGAGTATAATATATCCATTATGTATAAACACCACATTTTATTTATCCATTCATCTGTTGACAGTGTCCAAGATTTAGCTATTAGGAATTGTGCTATAAACATGCATGTGTCACTTTAATATGATTTTAATGCTTTTGGGAAGATTTCTAGAAGGGGACAGCTAGGTCAAAATGAATTTTTATTTTTAGTTTTTTGGGGAATCTTCATACTGATTTTCATAGAGGCTGTACTAGTTTAATTTCTACTAACAATATAGAAGGCTCCTTTTCCCCCACAGCCTCATCGGCACTTGTTATTATTTAACTTCTTGATGATGTTACTTTCCGGAGTAAGAGGGTGTCTCAGTGTTATTTTAATTTGCATTTCTGTTAGGGCTAACCATGTGGAACATTTTTTCATGTATTTATAGATCATTTGTACTTCTTTTGAGAAGTACCTATTCACTTTGGTTGCCCATTTTTTTTATTAGGTCTTTTATTTGGGAGGATCTAATTTTTAAAAATTCTTTATATGTTCTAGATGTTAGTCCTCTGTTTGAGGAATAGCTGGTAAATTTTTTCCCCATTCTGTAGGTTCTTTACTCTATTGATTGTTTCTTTTGCTGTGCAGAAGCTTTTTAATTTGATCTGATCCCATTGATTTTTAATATTATTTCTTGTGCTGTCCAGGCTCTGTTTGGAAAGTCCTTGCCTATGCCTGTGTCTTACAGGAGTTGTACCTTTTTTATCTTCCAGCAGATTAAGTGTTTCTGTTTTAACATTTAGATCTTTGATAGGGTACTTCTTTTGCATGTACTTTTTACATGACAGAATCTGTGTTTAATCTGATCTTATATAAGACAGATAAGAGTGTGTCCCGGGATTTGTTCCTAATTATATTTGGACAGTGTCACATTGCAGCACTGTACTGCCCTCAGCTGTCTGTGATCCTGGAAACAAATGTGGGACTGAAGCCCTAAAACACCCCATCTCTGAAGAACTGGAAACTCCAACAAAAGACGATCACTTGATCCCTACGCCTCAAGCCCCAAGTATTGCCTTCCCTTTGGCCAACCCACCGGTGGCTCCACACCCTAAAGAAAAGGTATGTTGACCCTTGTTAATCTGCTACAGCCTTAGGATGTTGTTATGGTGTAAGAGAAGTTTGTTACTCTCAAAAGTGCATCAAATGATGAAAAAAAAGTCTTTGCATTAAATTATTTGTGTATTTGATAACTCAGAAAATGAGTACATTGTTACTACACCTGATAACTTTTTATGCTAATTTTTTCTTAAAACTCTTTCATTTTAGATTGAAACAATAGAGGAGACTCGTGAAGAATTAAAAAAGCAGTACATATTTCAGTTGTCATCTCTGAATCCTCAAGAACGTATTGATTATTGTCATCTGATTGAAAAACTAGGTACCAGTATTTTACCTAAAAATGACTCATTATATAACATTATTTGGGAGTTACATATAGTCAGTATCAATATCATTTGTAAGGTATGGAAACTGAGAAAAAGGATATGGGTAATTTGTCTAAGGTGATGCAGTGAGTCATGAGAGCTTTGATTTTATGATCTGCATTCCAAATCTAAAGTCACCAGGTAATGGGACTTAAAGATTTGAATTGAAACCAGCAATTAAGGTTTAATAGTTTCTTGTGTCAGAGCATTTGTTTATTGATGAAACCTTGGACAAAATCAGTGAAACTGTAGGCTTACAATAAAACCCCATTTTTATGACGTCCAGAGAGGAATACCTTCTTTTGTGAAATGACCCTTGGCCCTAATGGTCAGGCTCTCTACCTGCGTCTAAAGCGCCATACTGGAAGTGTGGACTGATGTGCTGTGGCTACACTGTCCCATAGGAATAGGACATGAACCAGTGTGCCATTTTGTGATTTCTAGTAGCTACATTTAAAAAGTAGAAAGAGCCGGGTGTGGTCACACATGCCTGTAATCCCAGCACTCTGAGGCAGGGAGAGGCTGAGGCAGGAGAATCGTTGCGAGTTTAAGACCAGACTGGGCTACAAAGTGAGCTCAAGGCCATCCTGAATTGCATAGCAAGACCATCTCAAAAAGACAATCAATCAGTCAATCAGTCAATAAAAAGTAAACAGATACAGTTGAAGTCAGCGTTAAACATGTACAGTATTTAACTTCACATGCAAGATATTTTCATTATGTAATCAGTATTTTATACATCAGTATGTATAAAATATCACTGATGTGTTCCAAGTTCTTTGTACTATTTTTGAACTCTGATACATATTTTAGCATATTTTAATTTGGATTAGCTGTACCTCAGGTATTTTGATTGCCACAGGTGTCTTAGTTGCTACTGTATTATACAGAGTAGCTCTACAAAGTTAGAAAAATTACAGTATGGCAACTTAAGCTGATAGCTTGACATGAAGAGATAAAGCACTAAGAAATCGTAGGCCTAGATATGTAGCTGAATGGTAGACAACTTGCCTAGCATGTACGAGGCCGAGTTCTATTCCTAGCACTACAGAGTAGAGAGAGGAGTGGTTGGCAAAGTTTTGATAATTCATACTCTAGAATATACCCTGTTTATGGGTTCATCTTACTGCTTTATCTACTTTTGTAGTTAAAAGTTTAAACGTTTTAACATAAATTGAAACATTTGAAATATGAATACATATGTCAGTTTTCTTATTTAAATAGTTCACTGATTTTTGTTTATAAATAATTTCTATGCATAGTTAAGATTGCATTTTTTTCCATGAAGCTGAAGGGACCAGGGATATAGCTCAGCAGCACAGCGCCTACCTGGCAAGCACAAGGTTCTGATTTCCATTTCCAGTACTCCCCCTGACAAAAAAAGAATCAGTAAAGTACAACCAGTTTTTCTCTACATAAGGTGGGGTAGTGATGGAGAAGCAGTGCTTCGATCCCAGCTGTACACACATTGTTGTGGGACACCCACTGCGAAATGAGAAGTACTTAGCTTCCGTGGCAGCTGGGAAGTGGGTGCTTCACCGCTCCTACCTGGAAGCATGCAGGACTGCTGGCCACTTCGTGCAGGTGCGTATGCGCATTCCTGTAGAGAATTAATCCCCGCATAGACAGTACCAATCTTCTGAGATTTCTCAGTAATAAAGTAAGAAAAAACAGTTTACAGAGTCAGATTTTGGCTTTTATTCAGTTTTTAAATTATTTATTACTATTAAATTATTCACTTTTTAAATTAATTGGAATGTTAGTGGTTCTTAATTGAAGTAACATTCTCTTAATATGAAAAAGTTTCAGCCTGGTGTGGTGGTACATGCCTTAATCCCAGTACTCTAGAGACTGAGGTAGGAAGATCATCGCAAGTTCAAGGCCAGTCTGGGCTACAGAGTAAATTCAAGGCTAGCTTGAATTACATATTAAGACCCTGTCTCAAAGGGAAAAAAAGTTTCAAGATTATTTCATTGTAAGCTTTTATCTTTACGTCTAGCCCATTAAATATTAATTTAATTATTGTAAACTGACGGTCAAGCAGCATGTACCATGTTTTGTTTTGTTTTGGGTTTTAGAGACAAGGTCTTGCAATGTAGCCCAGGCTGCCTACAAACTTGTGATCCTCCTGCCTCAGCCTCTCAAGTGCTGGAAGTACAGTTGTGTGCTGTGGAGGACCACCTGGACGACTCTTCTGAAAAGAAGAGCAATTCTCTCCATTTGGGCTGACCCTGACTTTATTTCTGTGTGTTCATATATACAGAGCTGGCTAGGACTGTTCCTTATGCCTTCAGTTGGCTTTAAGCAATGCAGATCGGTCCAGCCAAGGTGATGATGTGTAGTATTTGAAGCAGACAACAGGGCAGTGTTTTTCTACCCCTCTAGCTCCCAAATAAAATGTGTGAGCCCGAGCAAGATGGAGAGCCATGCTCCACGCGTCACCTGGGATCAAGCCTTGAGATAAGAGGTTGTGACCTTCCAGGTCATAAAAGATCACACATCAGAGCTGAAGCATCAAGCCCAGACCATCAGATACTGCCTCAGTTGTGTCATTCAGATTACTCTTTCTGCATATCCTTCTCTCTGCATATTGCAGAGGTGATTTCAGGCCTCCTCCCTAGCGCAGCTCTCTGCACTCACATACTTCCCACCGTTCTCACAGTCACTCATCCTCAAGCCACTTCCTTCTTTATGAATTAATAAAACCCAGGTTCAGCCCTGGTTCAAAGCCTGTGTTCTGGTCAGTTAGGACCCCCTTGGTTCCCCACCATTTTAGATATATGATTGTGTCTTTATTTATTCCTTGGGTTGCATTGGGAGTGGTAGATTGGAATTAACTTGTTAGAATTCCAATAACTTTTCCATGGGATTACAAATACAAACTTCCCAGACTATGATGACTGGGAAGGGCTCCCTGTAATGTGCCACCACACCTGGCCACCCATGTAGTTTTTGAAGTTTTTAGTCAGGGATTGAATATGAGGGTCTCTTCTGTAGCCAGATAACTGAGTTCATACTTGCCTCCTCTGAGACCATGTCCTTCTGTGAAGTCACTCTTACAGCAGCTGAAGGCTGGTTACCTAAACATTACCAGGTGCCAAAGTTGCCGTATGTTTTTAGAAATACATGTAGTATCCTTCTGGTTTGTCTTAAAAGCTTAATAAGGATCTGGGCATTCTGGTGCATGCCTGTAATCCTAATGCTCAGGGGCCTAAGTCAGGATAATTGGGAGTTCCAGGCGGGCTGGGACTACAGAGTTTCAGACCTGTCTCAAAAAAAAAAGAAGGAAAAAAGAAAAGGGCAGATGTACTTAACTAAATTAATATATATCTTTTCCATGCACTTAACTAAGTTAATATATATCTCTTCCATGCTCACAAAATATTTACTTATTAAATAGTATGGGTTTGTTTGTTTGTTTTGAGACAGGATCTCATTTTGTAGTTCAGGCTGGCCATGAACTCACTATGTAGCCCAGGGTGATCTCAAACTCAGGCCTTATCTGTCTCTACCTCCCGAAGTTCTGGAATTACAGTCATGTGCCACCACACCTGACTAAATATTATGTTTACTATTTGTGGTATTCTGTTTTTATGATTGAATGTATAGCTCATTGGATTGAAGGTTCCTTGAGGGCAGAAAGCTCTATGTAGCTCAATGGTTCCATTTCATTTATGGGACGAATTCTCTAGGAAGAAGACTATGAATGGGGAAGCAGCTCCATACTTGAGGTGTTGACTGGCATCAGTGTACAACAGCAAAAACTAGCGCTTGCAGCAATGAGATGGAGAAAAAAGCTCCAGCAAAGACAAGAAACAGGCATTGTTGAGGTATGAACACATATGACTATATGGATAATATAAATGGCATTCAATATTGTGACTGTTCCAGTTTTTTCTTAAGAGAATATACCTAATCAGTATGCCTGTCTTTTATCCCTTGGTTATGTTTAGATTGGACATTCTAAGTTGAGTTTGACATTAATTCCTTTTTCTTCTAAATGCAGGTTAAATGTTTCTGTTGAGACATTTAGTGTTTTACACATTCCGATTCTACTTTAGCACATGGTTAGAGATATGGATGTAGGTTCAATCTTCTGCACATGGATAGCCAGTTTTTCCAATACCATTTATTAGAAGCTTTCCTCCAGAGTATATTTTTGGCCCTTTGTCAGTGATTAAATAATTGAATATGCTTGAGGTTATTTCTGTATCCTCTGTTCTATTTCATTGACCCACCTGTCTGTTTTGGTGCCAGTACCATGCTGTTTTTATCATAGTAGCTTTGTAACATACGTTGAAGTCTGGGATTATAATGTCATCTGCTTTGCTTTTATTACTCAGGGTTGGTTTTGATAGTCTGTGTCTCTTTTGATTTTATATAAATTTTAGGATTGTTTTCTCCAGTTCTGTGAAGAATGCTCTTGAAATTTTGATTGGGATTGTATTATCTTGATATCAGTTTTGGAAGGATGGCCATTTTGACTATATTGGTTTTGCCTATCCAGGGACAAGGTGTATGTATTTTTCATTTTCTGATGTCCTGTTTGAGTCCTTTTTTAGAGTGCTGTAAAGGTCTTTCACTTTCTTAGTTAGCTTAATTCCTAAGTATTTAATTTTGTTGATGCTATTTGAATGGTATTTTTTTCCTAATTTTTTTCTCATTAGGTTCATTATAAGTGTACAGGAACACTTGCTTTTTGTGTTTTGACTTTATATCCTGCTATGGTACTGAATTTAATTATTAGTTCTAAGAGTCTTTTGGTAGGTTTTTGGGGTCTTCTGTGTAGAGAATCATGTCATCTACAAATTATGATAATTTGACTCTTCCTATACATCCCTTTTATTTCTTTTCCATCCTTTGCTCTTGCTAATGTTTCAAGTACTATGTTGAACATGAGTGATGACAGACATAAGACATTCTTGTCTTATTCCTGATTTTACAAATTCTAGCTGCCCCACATTTAATGTGCTGGTGGCAGTAAATGTGTCATAAGGGCTTTTGTCAGATTGAGATAATATCCTTCAGTACTTATTTCTGTCAGTGTTTTTTAATCATAAAAAGATACTGGCTTTTGTCAAAGGCTTTTTCTACCACAATTGAGATGATCATTTCATTTTTTTCCTTGCTTCTGTTTATGAGATGGATTAAATGTATTGATTTGGGTATGTTGAACTGTTCTTACATTCCCAGGGTAAAGCATCTACATTCGTTAAAGAGATTGGTCTATAGTTTTCTTATTTAGTTGGATCCTTGTTTGGTTTTGGAATCAGGGTAATGGTAACTTCCAGGAATAGCTTTGGGAATACTCCTTCCCTTTCAATTTCATTAAAAAGCTTGAGGAGTATAGTGTTAAAACTTCCTGAAGTTTTTGTAGAATTCCCGTGAACCAATCTGGACCTAAGTTTTCTTGGTTGTAGGTTTTTTTCTTTATTACCACTTCAGTTTCATTGCCTGTTACTGTATTATTCAGGGTTTTTTTGTTTGTTTTATTAGTACATATTTGCCATGCATAATGATCACATTCATCATAGAGAATTTGTACTTGTACATAATATATCTTAATTCTTTTTTCCCATTCCCCTCCCCTCCCTCCAGACCTTCTTCCCCTCCGCACTTACAGAAGCTTTGTTTCTATTTTTGCCTACCATTCTCTTCTTTTTCCTCCCCCGCTTCCCTGTTCCTACTTCCCAATATCTATTCTCCATTTTGCTCTTTATTTTACCCTTTGAGTTTATCACATAAAAGAAACAATGTGATATTTAAACTTGTGTATCTGATTTATTTCACTTAAAATTATGTTCTTAAAGTGCATCTATTTACCTAAAAATGATTCAGGTTTATCCTTGGTGGTGTAGTACTCCATTGTGTATGGCTTAGTTACTTTTCTCCCATTGCTGAGACAAAATACCTGACACCCAAAGTTAAAGGAGGAAAGATTTATTTAGCTCACAGTTTGTAGAGGTTTCAGAGCATAATCAGCTGGCTCCAAGGCAAGGTGGCATGGCAGAGGGGCAACCATTCATGGTGGTGAAAGACAGAAAAGCAACAAGAGCAAAAAGGAGAAACAGACCTCTTTTCCATCCCTTATATTGTATGCAGGCTACCTGCCCTGGGCAGTTGTGGCACTCACACCCTCAATCCCAGCACTAGACAATGAACCAGTCACAAACTCAGTCACAAACTCAGCCACCTCTGAAAAATCCACCCACTCCCTATGAGGCTTTGTGAGAACATCCAGACACAAACCCTAACAGTGTATAAATACCACATTTACTTTGTCTGTTCATCTGTTGATGGGCATATGGGCTGGTCCTAAGAGTTAACTATTATAAATTGTGCTGCTATAAACATGAATATGCATATATCTCTTGTGGTATGATGCTTTTAACTCTTTCAGGAAGATACCTTGAAGGGGAATAGCTGGATCAAATGGAACCTCTCTAGTTTTAGTTTTTTGAGGAATCTCCATACTGATTTCCATAGTGGTTGTACCAGTTTACACTCTCATCAATAATGTAGTAGGGTTCCTTTTCCCTCACAGCCTCATCAACGTTCATTATTGACTGACTTCTTGATGATAACCATTCTTTCTGAATGAGATGGAATCTCAGTGCTGTTTAGATCTTCTTGGTTCAGTTTTAGGAATTTGTGTGTATCTAAGAATCTACCTATTTCTTTTGAATTCTCCAGTTGGTGTACAGGTTTATGAAGGGGTTGTTAATAATCTTTGATTTTGCCAATGTCCATTATGATTTCATCTTTTTCGTTTCTAATTGCATTCATTTCTCCTTTTCTCACCCTTGTTTGGTTAAATTGGCCAGTTGTTGGTCTGTTGTGTTTATTTTTTCAGAGAACCAACTCTTGATTCATTAATTCTTTTGGGGGGGTCTAAATCATTGATTTCTACTCTGATCTTTATAGTTTTCTTCCCTGTACTAGCTTTGGGTTTATATTGTTTTTGTTTTTCTAGGACCTTAAGGTACATAACTAATTTATTTATTTTGTGATAAGGGCATTCACAGTATGAAATTCTTTCTTAGGACTGCTTTCATTGTGGCCCATAAGATCTGGTACGTTGTACTGGCATTATTTAGTTCTAGAAGCTATCTTATTTCTTCCTTGATTTCTTCTGTGACCCGTTAATGTTTCCCTCCTTTTATCCTTAAAATAAAAAAAAAAAAAAGAGTGTGTTGTGTATAGTGTCCACACATTTGTACAGTTTCTGTTTTTCATTGATTTCTAACTTTATTGTGCTATGATCTGACAGTATGTACAGTATAATTTCAGTTCTTTTACATTTATGGAAGCTTTTTTTGCTGGCTGGTATGTGGTCTGTTTTGGAGAAAGTTACATGTATTACTGAAAAAATTACTCTGGTGGAACATTCTGTAGATATTTAATTAAGTCTATTTGTTCAAAGGTTTTGTTCAACACTGATATTTCTTCGTTGAGTTTTTGCTAGTTGATCTGTTTGTGTTAGTGGGTTTTGGGGGTCCCTCCACAGTAATTATGTTCGTGTTTGTCTGGTCTTTTATGTCCAGTAGTACTTGTTTTATAAAGTTGGGTGCACAATTATTTGGTGCATGTTAATCATTATCTCTTCCTGTTGGATTATCCCTTCAATATGGAGTGACCTTCTTTGTTTCTTGATCAGTTTTGGCTTGAAGTCCAATCAGAATATAGTATAGCAACACCTGGTGTTTTTTTTTTTTTTCAGGTTCCTATTGCATGATAGGAATTCAGACCAGAAAACAAAATTGAACAGTATGCTGTTTACAAGAAACATTTGATTTTTAATCTGAGGGGTTTTGGGGTGGGGTTGCCATGACCTGTGCAGCCAGTAGGATCCTGAGAGGAGGCAACAAGAGATTAAGAAAAAACAAGAGATTAAGAAAACAAGACACACAATAAAAGGAAAGCTGGGACCAGGTGGGCCCTGACCTCTCTGATGGAGCAGCAGTGACAATCCAGAACTGTCTGTGTTTTAATTTATATATAGTAAAAAGGGGGGAAGTGCATGACAGAGTCAGAAGTGCAAGGTTTTAGTGTTTTTGTTGAGAACACTGAAAGTGAAACATTTTTGGAGCTGTCTGTGCTGTAGTTAACAGGGAGGAACACTAAGGCCAGACACCTGCTGGACTGACTTTGCTCTAGTCCCAACAACTTGTTTATATGGTTTGCCTCTGGTGCTCAGCATTTTTGGGGCTGGCCTTGCTGTAGCCTCAGATATGTGGTCTATCTCCAGCTCAGCTGCTCTCCACAGTGATTAAATATGTTTCTTGTAAACAACATACTGTTCAATTTTGTTTTCTGGTCTGTTCTACTAGTCTGTCTTGTGATTGGGGAATTCAGACCATTAATATTGGGAGTTGTACGGATACTTACTGACTTATTTGTCATTTTCTATTTTCCTGTTGCTGATTCCCTAACTTTCCCTTCTATTTAACTGCTCACCCTGCCTGGTCTATTCATTCTATTAGGCCTTTGTCATTGTTAGCTTTATTGTCTCTTTGTAGGATATCTCTGAGAAATTTTGAGTGGCTGGTTTTGGTGGACATGAGTTTCTTTAGATGCTCTTTATCATGAAAGTATCTTATTTCATCACTTTTGCAAGATATTTTATTAGCTTCTGTTTGAAATTGTTTTAGAATTTGAAACATTTTATTCCAAGCTCTCCTGGCCTTCAGAGTTTGTTTTGAGAAGTCTGCTGTAATTCTAATGGTTTTCTCTGTTTCATTGATTCATTGCTTTTGTCTTCCTGCTTTGAAGGTTCTCTTCTTTTGTTGGACTTCTGGGATTTTGATTGATGTGCCAGGGAGAAATTCTTTTCTGATTGGGCCTATTGAGGTTCTATATGCCTCATTTGTCTGTGTGTTAAGTTCTTTTTCCATATTGGGAAAGTTTTCTGCTATTATTTTAGTGAACAGGTTTTTCTATGCCATTTGTGCTGTCTTCTGAATTTTTACTAATGCCAATCAGTATTAGTCTTTGTGTCATCCAGGAGCGACTGGATCTATTTTTTATATTCTTTTTGTTTTCAGTATCTGTCATTAATCAGTCACTAACAACAGCAGCTATGTCTTCTAGTTTTGAGACTGCCTTCACATTGGTCATTTCTGCTGCCCATACTTTCAATAGAATTTTTAATTTCCTGAATTTCTATTTGTAGCCCTTTTGTGATCTCTAAATCTTTTCTGTGCTGATCATTCATGTTTTGCAGTATTTTGTTTAGCTCTTCTAGCTTTTTATTATTGTCCTCTATAGAGTTGCTGTGTGTTTTATTTGATACAATATATTTTTACTGATATCTTCTGTGAGCTTTCAAATGCCTTATTGATCTGGGGTTTTTATCTCCTGTGACAGCATTTGAATAATTCGGCTCTATGGCTTTTGGTTTCCTCCCTTCAATGCTCCCAGCTCAACTTTGGGGGAGTAGGAGTTTCTGGAGGCATTTTGGTAGGCTGTCTTCACGTGTGTACGTGCGTGCATGCATGTGTGTGCTTGCAAGTTGATTGTAGTGAAGCTTTGTTTCTAGGATGGTAACTTGTTTAATTAACATCTTCTTTTCAGTGGGGGCTGAAAAGAAGGGCATGGCTAACTATTAGCCTTTTCCTCTGTCTCAGGTTCCAGCCACTTCCATTTACTTGAGATGGGAGGTTACAGTATATTTATCCCAGTACCAGTTCTCCAGGAATGGGCTGCTATATTGTTAATGACCCCAAGGCAGTCTGGATTTGGCATCCCACAAAAACCAATTAATAACAACAGCTATGTTACCTTGGCTATGTTAATGAAGTCAGCACCAATTATATCATCAAATACAAACCGCATATTGATAAACCCTAAGGATCAATAAAGTACCACCTTAACACACTCCTGCTGGCTTGAACCACTGGTGGTATGTGTTCATGACTATCCCATTGGGCACTGACTTATTTCTGACATTGCCTTGTTAATTACCTGAATAATTTCTGCCCAAATTAAATATTGATAGTATTCATAGCAATTAAATTATTACAGTGGTCAACAAATCTATTTTATTAAACTTATTCATGAATAATCTAGTAATAATTCTCCAAATTTTAAAATGGAAATCTTTCAAGTACACTATTGCTGGTGTATGTAGTACACATTTACAAATGCTGTAGCACAAATCAGCTGTATAACTTTTTATACCATTTTAATGTTTTCCTTAAGGAACTGTAATATGATGGCATCTGGTCTGCTAAATCAGCGCCTTTCTTTGCATTGTTATAATCAAAGGCGCCCCGAGAAGCAGTACAAGCCACCTGATGGGACAGTCATGCATGTACCACCGGGGTTCAAGCAGGTAGGAATGATTAAATTCAAATCAGAACTCTCAGCAATGAGACATATGAATTACAGCTTCATTGCGAACTTGTTAAAGAGGCTATCTTAGCCAGCCTGGTGGCATCTGCCTGTAATCCCAGCATTCAGGAGGCTGAGGCAGGAATATCTCTGGGAATTTATGGCCAGGCTGGCTACATAGTGAATCAAGATCAGCCTGAAACTACATAGGCCTTGTCTTAGAAAACAAAAAAATGAAAGGCTGTTTTTTTCTCTAACGTATAGTTTTGGGTCCTTTGTCCAGAATTAGATAGCTATTGTTGTGTATGTACTTAACTCTGTTCCATGGGTCTACATGTCTTTTTTGTGCCAGTATCACACTGTTTTTAGTACTACGGCTTTGTAGTATAATTTGTAATGGGTATGTTGATGCCTCCAACCTTGCATTTTTTGTTCAGGATTTCTTTGTCTAATCTGGATCTTTTGTGTTTCCATGTGAATTTTATGATTGTTATGTCATTGGCGTTTTGATGAGGATTACATTAAATCAGTGGATTGCTTTTAGTGATATGGGCATGCTAACAACATTACTTCTGCCAATTCATGAACACAGAATTATTTTCTAGCATTCTGATTCCATTATTGGTGTATAAAAAAGCTAGTGGATTTTTAATGTTCATTTTATATCCTGCCGCTTTGCTGAATTCAGCAGTTCTAAATTTTCTGGTAGAGTCTTTTTTTTTTTAAGGCTTTTTTATACAGGATCACATTGTCTGCAAATCATACTCCTAACAGTACCTGTGATTTTTTGCATCAACAGAAGTCAGATGTTTCTGTTTTGTGTTATAATTTCAAGTATCCTAAAGTACTGCATACTCGTTTACTCTAAAATTATACATTATCAAACCCATTATTTGTTCTTATATTTTAATGCATTACTATAGAACATATCTATTATAGCAAAAATTTATTTTTAATATTTGATAACTTTCAGTGAATTTGTTGCCTTTATCCTCTGAACTTAAAAAGGAAAAGTACCCAGCCGGTACAGTGGTGTACACCGTCACTCTGACAGTGTGAGACAGGAGGATCACAAGTTTGAGATCAGCCTAGGCACTTAGCAAGACCTATCTCAAAGTTAAAAAAAAAAAAGTGCTGGGAATGTAGCTATGTGTGGGGTCCTGTGTTCAGCTCAGTCAGTCCTGGAAAAAATAATTACCATTATGGCACCAAAATTACATCTCAATGCTGTCATTTAATTAAAAATTTACGTAGAGGGTAGGCATGTTAATACAGACTCGTAATCCTGATTACTCAGGAGTCCAAGTTTCAGGCTAACATGGGCAATTTGGGAGACCTTGTCTCAAAAGAATAATATAAAGGGCCAGTGATACATAGCTTAGTGTTTCTGAGTTCAGGAAACACTTTTGTTAACAACAAAAAAGAAAATGAAAACAAATTATTTAAACAAGGGGCCCCCTAAGTTTCACCAGACTTCAAAAGGCTAAGAAGATCTGAATTAAAATAATCTTAACATATTACAGGTAATCAGATATCTCCAAATCTTGTTAGTCTTGATTCTCTTTCCTTTTAAAGCAATTCAGCTGTTCTGTTGGCTTCTGGTATGTCTTATTCCCTAATTTTTTTTTTAACTGGGTGTTCAACCCAGGGCCATTGCCCCGAGGTATATCCCCAGTTCCTCTTTGGTTGGTCTACATTCTGTTTCTGTCCAGGGTGACAGGTCCCCAGAACGAGGTGCCCTGGATGAAAAGAAAAGCAAAAGAAAAAAAGAAAAAGGAGTGGCATAATTCTGGGATCAGGGGCGGACTGCAGTCTCAATTGCCAATCTCAGTAACCTTGTATTGAGAAAGAACAAAGGAAGCATCTGGGCAAATGGGAGGGTATCAACTGTTTTAGCAAGGACAGTACAACTCAGTTATAGGAATGAGGCTTGACTTAGTTAGCCATCGTGTTACCATTCCTTTGGGCATATCTCAGCAAAGTATTTGGTGTTGACTTCATGGCTTTCCACAAGGACACAGGTCCTGCAATCTTTTCCCTTCCACCAATGCTTTTGCTAGACTTCCTCCAGAACCAAACAGTCATACAGCTTGGTCAGGCCTGAGGCAATACATTGAAAGAGTAACTAAAGAATGTCCTTCTCCACACTGTGTTTTTTTTTTTTTCTTTTTGAGGCAGGGTCTTGCAAGATTGCCCAGGTTGGGCTTGCACTTGTGATCCTTTTGCTTCAGCCTCTTAGAGTTCATGTAGAATAACAGGTGTGTATCATCATGCCCAGCTTCTGTAAATATTTTACATTTCCAATTTGTAAGCATTTTAAAAGAAATGTAACAATAACGTCTTCATCTGGTGTCATGTAAGAATTCGTGTTTTCGGGTCTACACTCAGTTAATGGTAAGAAAATAGTTCTAACCGGGGATATAGCTCAGTGGCATAAGCACTTGCCTGGCAAGGCTGAGGTCATATGTTCAGTTCCCGGTACCAAAAAAAACAAAAAGAAAAAAAGAAAAAAGTTCTAGAAAGAAGGAAACATACATCTGTTTCTTTGAGTGTTACAGTATGGTTTGGTGTCTTCACTGCAGCGCTCACCGATAGCCCGTGTGCCACGCAGTGTGCGGTGTGTTTCAGATTACTCTGCTCAGAGCTGTGCAGTGGTGGCAAAGTCATGGTTATGAGATTAGCTGTGGACATAAAAGTGATTATAGATAAAATCATGCTGTGTCTGCATTTGGTCATTTATTTTTCATGCAATTTCACAGTGATTATTTGTTTCTAGGGAGCATTTAGCGGGTGGAAGGTTATTTTACACGTTGACCAGTCCCGAGAAGCAGGATTCAAGCGTCTTCTTCAGGCAGGAGGGGCAAAGGTTTGTACTGAATCCACGCACTCGGCTTTGTACTTGAATTACTATCTAACAGAGATCGCTGTGATCGGTTCTGTACCATTGAATTGCTTTGCGACATTTTTACATTTCTTGTTTTTTCCTTAGGTGCTACCTGGTCATTCTCTACCTTTAATTAAAGAGGCTACCCATCTCTTTTCTGATGTAAATAAACTGAAACCAGATGACTCAGGAGTTAATATGGCAGAAGCTGCTGCCCAGAATGTGTACTGCTTGAAAACAGAATACATTGCCGATTATCTTATGCAGGTTTGTGACATTCTGTGGTTGACGTCCTCATTACCAGAGATATGCTTACATATGTAGATGAGTAACTATACGTCAGAACCCTGTCTTGTTCATAGTGGAGCACTAGTCTCCTGCCAGTCTCTGTTCAACCTCTCTCAGTTCATTCCATTTTCGATAAAAGACATGGAAGCATTTAGCACAGAAGTTAGAATCTAAGTCTCTTTAAAAGCATTGAAATTTCCCTTTAAAATGTCAGGTATAAAACAGGTTCATAGCCAAGTGTGGTGGTGAACACCTGTAATCCTAGCACTTGAGAGGCTGAGGCAGGAGATCACAGTGAATTTGAGGCCAGCCTGGGCTACAAAGTGAGTTCAAGACCAGCCTGAACTACATAGTGAGATCCTGTCTTTAAGAAAAAACAAACAAAAAAAAACCAGATGTGATTCCAAGTATTCAAGGACCCTTTTTAAAAGTTCTTGACATTGGCGTTGGTCCTTGATAAATATCTATGTTAGACACAGTGGTACATAAAGCATTTGCTGTCTGGAGGATTTATACACTTACAGTTGGCCTCTGTTGTATGCTTTGAATGGGTAAAGAACAATGTTCCTGATACCAGAGTTCCTGAAAGAAAGGCCATCAGGAATCAGCAGGATATGACATATAGTAAAGAGTCTTACTAGGAAGAATTTAAAACATGGTGTAGTTAGTGTAGGAGAAAGGGGAAGCCAACACTTACCCTCCTGTCTGAGTTAGCTGCTTGTGGGGTTGCTTAGGGTTTAACAGAAAGAATTGCTAAGCCAGGGATATGGTGCACACCTGCAATCCTAGCAGTCAGGAGGCCAAGGTAGGGGGATCATGAGTTCAAGGCCAGCTTGGACTACACAGCAAGACCCTATCTCAAAAAAACCAACAAGAAATTCCTGAAACATAAATGTGAAACCTTTAGCATAAAGTGGATGTACTGATTAGGAGTTAGTCACCCAGTAATAACTACTTGAACACCTAAATAACTTTTTAAAAACAATAATCTCTTTGACACTTTCCTGTCAGCTTGAACCACTGCTGGTAAATGAATGACTGCCTCATCGGGTGGCTTGTACCACTCAGTGGAACTGTTCTCCGCTACTGATGGGACAGTCATGCATTTACCACTGCTGGCTCAGAGCCACCTGGAAGCAAGGCACAACCCTGTCATGAATGGGTTAAGCCACGTGTGGTGGCACACACGGGTAATCCCATGTAGCACCCTTGGGTGCTACATCCTCGGCCCTTTCTAATTTTGAGACAGAGTGTTGCTAAGTTTCCCTTCCTCTGGAGGCTGAGGCAGAATGATTGAGAGTTCAAGGCCAGCCTCGGCTACATAGTGAGACTTTGTCTCAAACAGTTTGAAACATGAGGTTATAAAAAGTTACCTAATGTGAGAAAGGACAGGGTTGAGAGGATATAGAAAATCCTTACCACATCTCATTCCTTCCAGGAATTCCTAATCATTCTAAGTAAGAACCAGTAGTATTTGCTGATCTTTATAAGGTGCTGAACTAAGTGCTAAGTGTTTGTACTTCCTTCTTGTTTCTTTTATTCATCCATTCATTTTATCTCATTTGCCATCTTTCTCCTATCAGTTCATCTTATTTTTTATACATTTCAAAGTTGTAGATACCAGTATATCTACCTCCTCAAGTACTGAGCATGTATATATATCTTCAAGTGGAGTCCACTATTTACTGTTCTTTTAATATAGTTAACGTACATGAAATTCATACATCTTCAGTGTACAGTTCAGTATTCTACAAATGCATACACTTGTGCATTGTGAAGCCTGTCAGTTTAAAGAGCACGGCCATTGTTTCAGGAGGTTTCCTGTGTCCCTCCTCAAATCCTTATCCCGGCCCCCCCCGGAGGTCACCTGTGTTCTGGTTCTCTCCCCGACTGTGTTGCCTGCTCTAGAGCCTCATGGGAATGGCGTCATACAGCATGTGCTCTTTTTATGTAAGGCTTTTATGTATTTTTTGCTCAGCATGGTAACTAGATCTATCCAGATTGCAGTGTGCATCAGTTTGTTCCTTTGTATTGCACATCAACATTCCTTTGTCTGAATATAGTGTAGTTTAGCCATTTTCCTATTGATGGTCCCCTGGACTGTTCGGGCTGTTTGCTGGAGCAGTGGCACCCACTTGCAGTCCCAGCTACTTAGGAGGCAGAGGCAGGAAGATTGAAGCCCTGAGGCGAACCAGGATAATTTAGCAAGACTTTGTCCCAAGAGGGGGGGCAGTGAGATGAGGCTCAGTGCCAGGGCACTTGATGAGCATATGTGAGACATGGTTTCAGTCCCCAGGGCTCCTTTTAAAAAGCAGCTATTCTGTGAGTATACTTTCTCATTTCTCCCAGGCAGATATCTAGGAGTAGAATGGACACTATGTACACATTAATTTTTTAAGAAATAGCCTGCTGTTCTCAGAGAGATTGTTTCCATTTATTACTTCATTAACAGTGTGTGTATATGATTTCCAGTTTTATATTCTAACCAACATTGGGTATTGACAGTCATTTGAATTTTAGCCATCTGGTAAGTTTATGGTGGAATTGTATCATGATTTTTTAATTTGTATTTCTTTGATGACTCAGAGAAACTTTTGTTTTCCTGGGGTGCCAGTGTGTTCTCTAATGTTCTTTTTCTAGAAATTCTCTCATTTTAGCTGCCAGCTATCACCCCATTCCTCCTCACCAACTCATCCTGGGGACTGGGCTCAGGGCCTTGTACACGTTAGGCAAGTGCTCTGCCACTGAGCCACATCTCACTGCCTCCCCTTGGGGGCTACATCCTCGGCCCTAATTTTGAGACACAGTGTTGCTAAGTTTCCCGGGCTGGACACAGACTTTGATCCCTGTCTCAGCCTTCCAAGTACTTGAGATTATAGAGTTTTGTTTCGTTTTGTTTTGTTTTGTTTTGTTGGTATCGGGAATCAAACTCAGGACCTCACACTTGCAAGGTAGGCACTGTGCCACTGAGCACTGAGCACATCCCAGCCCTATAGGGATGTATTTTTACACATGGTCCTTTTTATATAAATTTTAAAGTAGGTTTGTTTATAGCCATCAAATAAAGGAATTTTGGTGGGAATTGCATTAATCTTAAGATCAGCTCAATTTCCTATCTTTAGCGCATTGAGTCTTCCAAACAGGGAACATGGCATATCTGTTAATTTAAGTCTTTGGTTTTTCATGAGCATCTTGTAATTTTCAGCATGCAGCTACTGTGTAACCTTTATGTCTAAGTACTGCCGTTGTTTGCAGTGGCTCTGATCTGACCTTCTCCAGCAGTGGCAGCTTACGCGTCAGGTCCGTTTCCTTTGCCTTAGCTCACGTCAACTCTGCACGCACAGCTAGGGTCCACCGCGAAGGTGGGCGCCTCTGTACACTGGGTTTGGGGCTCCCCACTTGCTCTCTTTTCTGGGCTGTAGCTGCCATCCTGTCTGTTTCTTCAGGCCGTGGCTATTAGGATTTTAGCCAGTGCACACCACAAACTGGGGCCTCTCCTCAGACGAAAGCATAAAATGAACATGGAAATGTGCCCCGTGCTGTTCCACCAGATGTCAGTTTCCTCTCATGTTCCCCCTGCGTGGTCTGTTTATTCTCTGGTCTTACGTAAAGTTATTGCCTTCAGTATATTGTAGCAAGAATTTATAGTTGTTATCTCTGGGACAGTTGAATCAAAAGCCAGTTTCTTGTTATTTTGTGGTGATTCATTTCCAGGTTATCCAGTCTGCTGTATTTCCCAGAAGGTTAAACTTTATTACATGTGATAGTAAATAAAGGAGGAAACGTCTTTTCTTTAATATTAGAAACTGGTTGTGAAGGAGAAAAGGGTTTTGGAGTCAAGTGAAGAGTCTAAATTTTGACTTTACCACCTGCTGCTTTGTTTTCCTGAATGTAAGACCTAGCTGGAAAATAATAGGCTTCAAGAACCAGAGATCAAAAATGCCTGCCCAAGGCAGGGTATGGTGGCATACGCCTGTAATCCCAGCACTCGGGAGGCTGAGGCAAGAGGATTGCTATGAGTTCAAGGCCAGCCTGGGCTGCAAAGTGAGTTCAAAACCAGCCTGAACTACATAATGAAACCCTATCTCAATCAATCAAGCGATAAAAAATGCCTGCCCAAATTGGCTCATCTTAAATAGTAACCACCAAGCAAGAAATGGCAGTAAGACTAGGATAAGCTGATTTGGGCTGGCATTTTTGCTTTCTGGTCTTTAAGGCTGATTATTTTGCAGCTAGGTCTTACGTGTAAGGAATGGGGTAATTATGTGACATTGAGTATGTTATTTAACCTTTTTAAATTTTGTATGGACCGGGTGTGGTGGTACATGCCTGTAATCCCAGCACTTGGGAGGCTAAGGCAGGAGAATTTATTGCAAGTTTGAGGACAGCCTGGGCTACAAAGTGAGTTCAAGGCCAGCCTGAACTGCATAGCAAGACCCTGTCTCAAAAAGACAAAAAAATTTTGTATGTACTGTATTTGGGGATGTTATACTAGGCCTAATAACATACAGTTAAACAACAGTTACTGTATTTAATCCTTATTTTACCTGTGAAACCATTATTAAGGTCTGAGCTAGCTCCACTGTACCTGAGCTACACGCTATTTTTCTGATAAAGAGTGAGACTCTGTCTCACAGGGTCTCTTCACTAAATGTAATGTGCTAATTGGCAAATGAATGAATATGCATTGTTTTTCTTGTCAAAGGTGGAGTAAAGGAGCACACCTGTAATCCCAGCACTCTTGGGAGGTTGAGGCAGGAGGGTCACAAGTTTGATGCCCACCTGGGCAACTTACTGACTTACTGAGACTCTGCTTCAAAATAAAAAACAAGTAAATAAAAAAGGGCTGGGGATGTAACTCAATGCAAAGGCCCTGGGTTCAATTTTCAGTTCTGTGTCCCCCCACCTCCCCTAAAGGCATAGCAGGGTAAAGGAATCTATTACTTGACTATTTAAAAGTTTGAAATCTGAAAAGGAAATGTTTACTTTTCCTTTATAGGAATCTCCTCCTCCTGTAGAAAACTACTGTCTACCAGAAGCTGTTTCATTTCTTCAAAATAATAAGGAACCTGGGCCTGGCTTATCACAAAAGAGGAAAGCCCCTGCAGAGAAAAATAAAACCAAACGGTCTAGAGTGTACTAATCATAGAGCCATGCTTTGGTTGCCAAACGTGAAATGTTTAAGTTAATGGCCTCAGTCCTCCTGTGGTGGCTTTGTGTAATAAGGGCAAGTGCCTAAAGAATTGCTTCAGAAAGTAATGATGATGCCATTTGAAGTTTTTAACACCTGAAATGTAATCATTGCAATACTGTTCCTTAATTTAAAAGAACGTTACCTGTAGTAGCAACAAAGTACAACTCCTTAGCTAGCTTGTTTTTAAAACACACCGATGGGTACAAAGCACTGTTTACTTTTCTTGTTAGCAATTGCGGCTGTAGCTCAGTGGAAGTTGCATGATGATGAGTTTTGCTCCCGAATATCTCCGTTAATTCATAAAAGCAAAAGTTGTCAATTGGGAGTTTTCATGTTTCCCAGATTTTTATTTTTTCACCATTTTACCTCTTTAATAGGCACCTGAGCACCTATTAAAGAGGAACCCGGGGCTCTAACCCTATATACATGTGCTGTATATATGTATATGTATGTTTGTATAAACCTCCATGGTGTTTGCCAGCTTTGAGCACCAAAACTTGGAAAATGTGACAATAAAGAATAAAACAGTGACTCAGATTAGTGCTAAGTTGTGTTTTGTTAGATCTGCTGAAGTATTAAAGATGGGTAAGACTAAGCTTAAAGATTGAATTGCTGATTACATGTCTTATTTACATATAACATTTTATTAGGCTTCTTTAAACCTCTTCTGTTGGAGCCGCCGCATTGCATCAGCCCTTGTCATCCTAACCCTAAATACCAGTAGAGTGAGTCAGTGGTAGGGCAATGCTCCAGTGGGCCATACTACTGAAAGTCTCAAGTTCACCGTCACTGTACGATAGGGACCCCCATAGTTCTCTGGCAGTGGCTACTTCATCTTATTTGAAAGACAAACCAGTCTGTTAGGACATAATTTTAATGTAAACTGTTCATTTCTTAATTGTCTGAAAGGCAAACTCAGACTTGGTGAAGGGAGAAATCTCAAACCCACACTTGACACTCAGGGTTTGAGCAGTCCACAGTGAACAACAATGTGCTCAAACTGGCAGCCTTTGTCCAAAACCACATAGGCCTGGTTTTGTCAGAGCTATATCATGGTAGCTAAACCACTGTGTAGGTTTGCAGTAAGTTTCTCTGAATTTTACTTTATAGTAAGAGTTGCTATACCTTTTTCCCCCCATTACAGACAGGATTTCTCTGTAGTCTAGGCTGAGCTTTGAACCTGCAGTTGTCCTGCCTCAGCCGCCTTCTGACTCCCTCAGAACTACTTGATTAACACACTGTTGCTAAAATGTAATGATCTTGTTGTTGTTTTTTTTTTTAAATCCAAGATAATTTAATCTACTCTTCTGCCAAAATTCTAGACCATTACAGTTTGGGTCCCAGACACATGGCTGACAACATGAGGGCTCCAGATAGCAGTTTCTCCTCCTGACTCCGCCATCTGCTCACACCCTCCACAAGCCATTTCAGCTCTGGCTGTGGGTCCCTGCCTGTAAATGTCCTGATGCCACCAAGCATATTGTCTTATGTGAAGAGAAGGCCAAGCAGAGGTAGTTACCTCATTAAAAAAAAAAAAAAAAGTCCACCGAGCCTGTTGGTGCACCCATGTAATCCCAGCACTTGGAAGGCTGAGGCAGGACGGTCGCCACAAGTTCAAGGCCATTCTGGGCTACATGAGTTCAGGGCCAACTTGAACTTCATAGGGAGACCCTGTCTTAAAAAACAAAAACCAAGTCATGCATGGTGATGCACAGCTAATCCTAATAGTCAGAGGCTGAGGCTGGAGGATTGTGGGTTTCAGGCCAACCTAGGCTACATAGTAAAACCTGGTCTAAAAAAAACGGCTTCGATGATAATTTACAAGTTCCTTCTCAGAATTGCTGCAATATTTTAATCTCTGATACTTAAATTTCCACCTTACATTCTCCATGAACTTTTTTGTACATCAGTCTGATTTCAGAATCCTCGCTGACCTGCAAGGTGGTGCACAGGAGTCAGCAGCAAAGCATCGAGAACACGTGATCTCAGAGCTCAGAGGTAGGAACCCTCAGCATAGACACAGTACTCATTGATAATCAGATTTAGCAGTCAGATCATGGACTGAGTTGTACCCCACCAAAATTCTTAGGTTGAACCTAACTGGATTGTGACTGTATAGCTAGAGCCTTGAAGGAGGTAAATAAGGTTAAATGTGATCATCCAGTGGATGAGTGTCCTAAGAAGAGGAAGAGACACCAGAGTGCTGTTGCTGCACCCTTCTTCCCTGGTGTGTGCACAGAGGAAAGTCCTTGAGGGAGCAGCTGCCTACTTGCTAGGAAAAAAGGCCTCCACAGGTAGCAGTCCTGCTGGTTCCTTCATCTTAAGATTAGCAGTCGTTCTCAGGTGTGGTGGTGCACACCTGTAATCCCAGCACTTGGAGGCAGAGGCAGGAGGATCACCCTGAGTTAGACGCCAGCCTGGGCTACATAGTCAATTGAAGAACAGCCTGAACTGCACGGGGAAACACTGTTTCAAAAAAACAGAAGATTGTTAGAGCAGTGCCTGCAAGTTTTTCACAGGAAACAGTTTTCAACCTAGGACTAGGGTGTCTGGAGTGAACAGGGGCCCAAGTTTGAGTATGTGTATTTTAAAATGGTGCAGTGACCTCTCACTTCCTGCACGCTGCTCTTAACCCACGCCCACTTCACAGATAGAGCACATCTCTTGGCCACAGGTGCTGCATATGTAGGTTGCTACTTTGTATCACTGGTTGGTAAACTTTTTTCCCAGTGCTGGGTATCAAACCCAGGCCCTCATCTATGGAAGGAAAGTGTTCTACCACTGAGCTATAGTCTCAGTCCAGTAAAATTAAAGATACAAATAGCTAATGTGTTAAGGTCTATGGCCTAGGTCTTTGTCTCATTTTCCCCCAGTCCATCAAAAATTTAAAAACCATTCTTAGGCTGAGGCAGGAGGATCATCTTGAGTCCAAGGCCAACGTGGGCTACATAGTGAGTTCAGATGCAGCCTGCACTGCATAGTGAGACCCTGTGTCTAAACATAAGTAAATGTAATAGACGCTGATAAAAGGAGAGGAACGGTCCTCTTGATATGAACCACGCGTGAGGGAAAAGCTCTCTTTATGGACTAATTCCAGGTCATAAGTTACAGCAGCGCGTGATTTTACTACTACCACTGCTCCGAGATGTAGGTAGGGACCATCAGTAACAGCGTTCCTACAAGGCGGTGGATTTATAATGATGTTAATTAGTAAAAAGCAACTACTAAAACTACAAAAGTAGCAACTGCAGAAAGCAGCTCTCACCCTAACCCTGAGGGAGCATGGCAGGACCTGACCGTTAGGAGAGGCGCCTCCGCCTCCCCCAGACTGTAGGTAAAGAAACCTGCTGGAGGCTCGGGCTGGGGCGCACAGCCGGGAGGGCCCTACAGGAGGAGGAGGGCTGCCCGGTGCGGGCTGCGAGGTTGTCCACAGTCTCCTGTTCCTCTCTGGCCGACTAGTCTTTATGGTGCGCTCTCCTGGCGACGCTGTGTAGTGCTAAGGGAGGCCTCTGCTGCTGAGACCTCTCCTCACTGAAATCAGCCCGTCTCGATGGCACCGTGGCACCCGTCCACGAGGGAGGGCGACCATGGAGATTTCGAGGACGCTAACGTGCTTCTCATGTCTTCATTAAGAGCATCTTCTGGACCTTCTCAGGATGCAGTTTGGGGGAGCAGGAGACACAGGTTGATAAATCCACAACATGGCCGTGTAGAGAAGCCCAGTCTTCCCTCCATGGAAGCCCAGAATCTCTAGCTGTGCACCTGTATTTGTGAACTCAGCTCCTTCTAGCACGGTTGGCTGACACAATATGTGTTCACAGGAAAAGAAAAGCAATCAGCTGAGTCCAGAATGCAGGAATTTCTACAAGCCAAATGACCAGGTTTCCTCAGCTAACTCAGTGACAAGAAAAGTAAGGTGGGGAAGTTGGGGAGACTTACAAGGCGGCAGGCAAAGGGGCACCCAAGCCTGCTTTCTGTTCCAAGTAACTGCACCGGCCAACCGCAAAGCAGCACCAAGAGAAACGGGTGAAGTGCAGCACAGTTAGGGTATCTGATAGTGCAGAAATACCTCTTCGGTGTGGCCATGGCACGTGGGTTAAGAGCATCCATTGCGAAGCCAACTCTGGAAGGCTGGGCCAGCCTGGGCGTTCAGTGACTTGCAGAGACTGTTTCAAAAAATTTAAAGAGCTGGAGATGCAGCCCAGTGAGAAGGCCCTGGATTCAGTCCTCAGTACTTCCCCCACCCCAAGTATGTACCGGTAAAACAGGGATGAAATGGGTCTGAGGGTACTTTTAAAATAACCTGGGAAACGGCTGGTGTTCTCAGGCTGAGTTGTCACAAATGGACATTCGTTGAAATTGGGTTTGGGGAACAAGGGCATTTCTTACACTATTCTCTGTAATAATATGGTTGAAATTTTTATCATAAAACATTCTAGAAACTACAATTCCACCCCCAGCCATTTAAAACCAGGACAGCACAGCTTACCCTGATGTTAAGAACGTTCTGCCGCACCCAGAGGGAGGCTAAAGGCAGGATGTCATGCCCACCCCAGTCGTATGAAGGGCAGGTAAAGTGCACCTCCGAGTCAGTGTCAAAGGATACCTGTTTCCCGTTTTCCTTCTCTTGCCTGAAGTGCAGGGAAGAGGGGAAGCAGACCCTCCTGGTTAGGGACCCAGAGCTCCTGCGCTACTAGCTGTGACTTCTGGCTACTTGAACTTCCAGAACCTATTTTTCCTGTGCTTAAAGGGCTGTCAGGAATAAACCAGGAAACATTTGCTACTTGTTTACCTGATTAGAGCAACGCCTGGCTCAGGGTTAAAGACTACAGAATTTTTTAAAATTCCAATGACTGATGTTAACACTTGCCAGGCTGGAGCTAAGGCTTAAAAAAAATGTCAGGGGAGAATGCAGGGAACTGTATAATGCACATTTGCCATTACCATGATGCTATTGAGCTTGGGAGTCGCTAATTAAAGGCATATATTTGGTGCTCACCTGTAACCGTAGCTACTTAGGAAGCTGAGGCAGGTGGATCTCAAGTTTGAGGCCAGCCATGTCAACTTACTGAAATTGTCTCAAACATTTTTTAAAGGGCTAGGGATATTGTATCATAGAGTGCTTGTCTAGTATGCCTGAGGCCCTGGGTTCGATCCCCAGTACTCAATACAGCACAAATCTGTACCCTGAAACCAGATAAATGCCAAAGCACGCCATAATAGCCCTACCAAGTTAAAACCAAAGACTAGCCTAAGAAATTGTTCCACACCCATACCCAATTAAAAGGAAGGCTGCTGATGTGCAACCCAGGTGAACTTCAGAAGGCAGCCCCGGTGGGTCAAATAACCTGCAGAGCTGGTGCCAGCCCTGCAGGGGACTGTCACGCTAGTAGTAGAGTCTCAGGTTCGGCAGGGGTCCCACTGATCTCTGGTAAAGTGAATTGGTTCATGTCACAGAACTGTAAAGAAACCCTTAAAATTCAGGTGTAACTGGGAAAAATAATGGAAGGGTACATTAAAACTAGCCAGTAGTCGTGTAAAACAGACTGACCTTTACAGTAAGCAAACTCTGGGTGGTCAGAGATTTACTGTGAAGGCACAAGCCAAACAGAATGCAAGTACTGTGTTACAGAAGGAAATGAGCAGCTACAGAAATCATATTGAGAACAAGTTATCTAAGAAATTAAGATAAACTATTGAAAATGGTCCTTATACTGATAATTAGTGAACCACAAATATATCTCAAAAGGACTTCCTATTGCAGTTACAGGTACCTCCCCGCTTGAGTATCTATTTAGGCTCATGTAACAGTATTCGAAAACGCACTTAGAATCTGGGGTGCTGGCATGTGCCTGTGATCCCAGCACCGTAGGAGGCTGATGTGGGAGGACTGCAAGTTTCAGCCTAGACTATTTAGCAAAACCATCTCAAAATAAAAAAAGGACTGGAGATGTAGCTCAGTGGGAAGGACTGTGGTTCAGATCCCAGCAACACAGAAGAATGCTCATTAGAAATAGAGTCATCCTTTCTGGGCTGAAGATGCAATTTAAGGGACTTCCTACCTACTCAAATTAGCTCTGTGATGTTTTCCAACACTCTACAAAGGGGATAATTTATCTGTTTTGACATAACCTACTGGCTCCCGAATTTTGCTGCATACTAGGATTAACTGCAGAATTACAAACAAAAAGCTACAACCTTATGCACAGACTGCACCCCATATGGGTTAAATAAGAATGTCTGGAGGTGGGAGTCAGGCATAAATTTTTAAAGATCCCCGTTATTGCAAAATGCAGCAGATTGAGAACCATGGCCATAATCTTAACAGTTGTCCCACTCTTATAGGAAAAAAACTGCTTAATTAGGATAAATATGCTGTCTGAACTGGGCAGAGTCTCTGTTCTTGGTAGTACTTTTCAGTTTCTGCACGCTAACATTGAAAACAATGCTTTATTTTGTACATCTTGCTTCCCTACAAAAAAAGATAAAAAATACACTGTGGTTGAGGAACAGCTCAGTATAGAGCAGTAGTAGCAAACCTATGCCGCATATGCTGCAGCAGACTGTTTGATTGAAAGCTTCAAAAGGTTCAGTCACTGGTGTAGAGCTTTGCCTAACACACAGAAAGAAAACGGTGTGGCACACACCAGCAGTTGGGTGGCAGAGGCCCCCAACTGTGAGCATGCGGGCAGACTGGACTACATAGCAGTTCCCTGTCTCAAAACACAAAGGGAAGGAAGAAAAGGGGCAGAAGAGAGGAAAGAGGAAAGAGGGAAGGAAGGGAAGCAAAGGAAAGGAAGGCAAGTAGTTTTTTCAGAAAAGGTGGCAAATAGATGGTACAGAAAATTATTCTGGGCTCCCTTTGGCAGCACATATACCAAAATTGGAACGACAGAGATTAGGATGGCCCCTGCACAGGAAAATTACACCATCATTTTTGTTACAAGGTAAGATACAGTAAAAATATGCTAAGACTTAAAATTCAGGGCTTGAGTTAAAAAAAACTCAGGCTTTAAAGAAAACAAAGCTTGCCACAGAAGACTGTGTTTTCTAAAATATAAATGCAAAATGCAGATCATACCAACTACCTGCAGTCAATTTTTTCAATCATTCCGTTAAGTCCGCTTCTTTCTAAAACAGCTTCTTTGGGGCTGGTGATTTAGCTCAGCGGCACAGCGCCTGCCTGGCAAGCGCGAGGTCGTGAGTTCGACTCCCAGTACGGGGAAAAAAACAAAACAAAAAACCCCAAAACAATAAAAAAAAACCCAGCTTCTCTCAGACACAGTCGTCAGCCTGGTGGAATGCTGGTGGTCTCACACACTCTTTTCTGTAATATTTGTTTATGGTACCAGGAATCAAACTCAGGACCTTGCGCTTGCCAGGCAGGCGCTTATGCCACCGAGCCATGTCCCCGGCCCTTTTCTGTAATATTTAGAGACAAAGGATCTTATCTTCACAGAAGTTGCTTGCTGCATGTTTTGACTGACTCTCCACAATGCTAAATTAAAGACTGAAGACTGCTTCAAAATGGCTAAATCCATGGCTGAGGATTTAGCTCAGTGGCACAGCGCCTGCCTGGCAAGCGTGAGGTCGCGAGTTCGATTCCCGGGACCGGGAAAAAATAAATAAATAAATGGTAAAATCCTACTGCGATCACTAATCTTGATTAGACTGAGAAATACCTAGGGCATTGTTAAAACAGTCTCCTGTCTCTGTGGTATTTCCAGAAAGGTCTGGATCAGGACTCTGACTTCCTCAGTGGACTAATCTACTGAAATCTGATGGCGTTATCTGGAGGTGAGGGAAATGGTGGGGCCTGGTTGGAGGGATTAGATCCTGGGGCAGAACTGGGGAACTATGTATGCTGGAACTTTTGGAAATTCACCCTGCTTCCTGGCTGCCATGAGAGGAACAGCTTTCCACCACCCCACCCACCATGGTTTCTCTGGAGTCAGCCCATCCTGGAATGAAACTCGTGAGTAAAAATCAACCTTTCCCCCGTAAACTGTTTATACCCAGTGCTCTGTCAGAAGGTAAAGCTAACATACCTATCCAACAGTGTCCCATCGTTACTAAGAGTTCCAGTTCTTGCTTGGCACACAACTTCTAAAGGCACAAACATGTATACTAATAATCACTTTCATGCCTCTTACCTAATTCTTTGTATCATATTAAGTAAGCTCAAGCCAATTATTTAAGGGATCTTTCACAATATACACTTCTTCTATCAAGCCCAGGAAAATCAGCTTGTACCGTCAGCCTTCCCTAGGCCTTACTTATACCTGGCTGTAGTGACTGAAGAGCTGGAGCTATTCCCAAACTGCAGCGTCAGGACATCAAGGGTGCCTGCCCACGACTCTCCTTCAGACCTCTGCATACTCCTGTTAATTCGCTTCCACTCCCCAAATACAAACGCTGCTCACTTCTTCACTCCTTTGTCAACCACCCTTATCCTGCCAACCTCGGCCCCTTACCCCACATGCCCAACTTGCGCACACCTATGTTCCCATCCCCAATTCACACTGTAAGAAAAAAATGTTTAGTGTGCCAGAGTTAAGGGAGTCTATTTAAAAAATGGTGCTGAGCAGCTGGCTATCCATTTGCCAAAGGACGGACTTGGATCATTAGCACTCACACTCACACCATTAAAAATTCACTCAGGGTAGATCCAAAACCTAAGTGAAAGCTAAAACAAGGAATTAAAAAATTGGGCGCTATCAAAATGCAACTGTTTCAAAAACATATTAAAGATGGAGATGTAAGTGAGGGTCTGTAACCTCAGTGCTCTGGGAGGCTGAGGCAGGACAATTGCAAATTTAAGCCCAGCCTGGGCAACTTGGCAACATAGCAAGATCCTGTCAAAAATGTTTTTAAAAATCTGGGAACACAACTCAAGGCCCTAGGTTCAATCCCCAGTACTGCAAATTAAACAAAACACCCTTCATCAATATAAAGTAATAGGGGTTTGGGGGATTTAGTTCAGTGGTGCAGCACCTGCCTAGTTTGATTCCCGGTACCTGCCCCATCCAAGGAATAAAGCATTAACATGCTACAACATACATAAGCCTCAAAACATGCCAAGTGCAAGGCACATTACCTATTCTATAACCTTTTGTTTTTTTTGACAGGGTCTCATCATGTAGTTCAGGCTGTCCTTGAACTCTGTAGCATAGACTGGTCTCAAACTTGCTGCAGTCCTCCCTCTGCTTCCTGAGTGCTGACATTACAGCAATGGGCCACCATGCCCAGCCTCTGTAACCTTTTAAATGTGAATGTCCAGAAGAAAAAAAATCTAGAGGCCAGAAACAATACTGGCTTCCCACAATGGAAAGATGCGTGGGTAAGGTGAGAATTGATGGAGATTCTTTGGTTTTGTAGTAATGAAAATAATTAGGAGTTAAGTGCCGTAATGATTGTATAACCTCAAGAATATACTCAAAATTATGTAAATTGTACACAATATGCCTTCTCCGGCTTAGAAATTTAGGGATTACAACATGAAGAAAATCCTGAAATTAGAACTGTTATGCTTTTGAGAAAAAGCTTCAAGGGACAGAGGCTCAAGTCTTCAGTCAACAGAACAAAGATCTGACACACCCTTGCTGTTCTATGATAACATGCACGCACCCGTTTTTACTCCACGTGTCACTGTGACACTGCAGCTTCTCAAACACAAGCACACCCCCGAGATAGCGCAGTCATCCACCCACCTGCAAGGGGCCTGACAATGCCCCATTTCCAAAGACAGGTTAAGGGTGTAGAATAAAAAGTATCACAATCCAGTCCGTAGTATTTACTTTTTTATTGAATTTGTTAATGTTACAGAGTTCTTGCACTGCCAAACCATGCCTGAGAATCCAAAAAAAGAAATGGTACAATGGACTGCCTCATCCACCCATCATTCAGTATATTAAAACTTGATTCATGTGCATTTTTGTAATTTCACAATCTTTTAAAAAATTGTAAGAGTTGGAATTTAAATCTGCTGCGGGTCTTCAGATTTCCAGTACAGTGTGCCATTAAATAAAACTTCATATTCATCTCACTTCACCTCTCAGTAACATAACTGACAAAATTTTGTAGGAAAATGCATATTTTTCAAGGAAAATATGTGGCTCAAGATCCAAGAGATTACTTGTTTTTGGTTCCCAAATGAAATCTTCTGCTTAACCAAGAATCTCTTACTTTTCCCGTAATCCTCCAAACTCCCTTGGCTGGCTCAGCTACTCACCCAAATACCCCAGAAGACAGGCATCGTACCTGCCACCTCGAACGATGTCAACATTACTGCCCACAAGTGGCCAGTAGGACCTGTCTGCGGACTGTCTACAGCACCCTCAGGAGTCCGACTGCTACACCGACATGTTCATCAGACTGAACTCCTACAGGAAAATGCCCCAACACCAGAAGGGTTACTTACCCACTTGCTTTACTCTTGCCTGCAGTAAGTGTGCAACTCCTGCATTTGGCAAAGGGATTTATTATAGAGAAACCCAGACTCTGCATCAAGTGGTCACTACCACTATGAAATATTTCTACTGAACCAAAGATACCAGACTAAGGAAAAACTGCTAGACTATCTTATTAGGTGGAAAAAAGTTCAGTAATCCCGGGGAGCTTCCTCAAGTCCCTTGTAAGGACTACTATATACTACTGGATAGTCTGGAGTCTGCAGAAAAGCAGAAGTGCTACATCAGTATCTTCAGCCCTGCCTTCCCAAATGAACACTAAGAAAACACACCAAAAGGCTGATAACAGAGCTAGCTGGGACAATCACTGCATCTACAGAATGGCCAATACCTTAAAAATTGGGCACAAGTATGTAAGGAAGTCTCATCAAAGATCATGCAAGATCCAGGAAACTGAAATGGGCGCTAGGTGAGGTTTAGCTTTGTGGCTTTGAATCTGTAGGACGTGTCAGTGAATCCCTTAGCCCAGCGATGGCAAACCTTTTAGAGCTTTCAAGGCCAAAAGCCTGGTGCAGCACGCATGCCATAGGTTCACCACCACTGCCTTAGCCTGAGCGGAAACCATACTCTTTCGACAGCAGTTTACTATACAATTTAGACCTGATTAGAGGAGGCTGTAGCAGCACCGGAAGTAGAGCCTCCAGCATCCGCTGCCCTCTACATCAAAGGCTATTTGGTTCCACTCTAGGGTTGGCAAATTCACAAGACATCACAATTCGAATGCGTATTTCAGGTTACTTGACCAAGTAATATGCTGTCAAAGAACTTATTCTAAGTCCAAGCAAAAAAGGCCTTAATGTGGAACACAGAAAAAGCACTATACAAATAAAAAAACTACTAAAGGAAACTAGATTATTCCCCCAGCCCACCCTCTTTCCCACTTGGTGGATCCAAGTTTGGTAGAATTTAATTTGTAGTTACCTCAGACTAACTAAAAATTGCAATTATAAATCACAGCCCTACTCAGATGATCTGAACACATCAGTTTTTTGAGAGCGGCATGTTTCAAAAGTCTAATATAGCCACAGCTTACTACAGAGTACTCTTCAGGGTAGGGCACAGGACAGGTTAATTAAGGTCACTTAAATCTTCATCTTTTATAGCAGATCAGAACCCAGATGGCTGACTTTCTGCAGGATTTCTGATAGAAATCCAGTAGAGCTGGTTTCAAGGTTCACATCGACACTTTAAAAGCTGTAACCTTCTTATCCAGAAGTTGTGATCCACGTGAAGTCCACAAAGAGTGCAGCAAATCTGAGGTAGTCAACCCTGACAAAGGCTCAGTATCTGAACATAAAAAGATCTTCCAAATGACCACTGGCTGCAGGATTTGGTTTTTTGTATTTGCAGAGCGATTATGAAAAGTGTTGAATCTAGTTCATACATTTATATAACAATGAAAATTCCCCTAAATCCAATATACACAAAGAGCAGTTGTGATACTTTAAACTTCCATAGTGCAACAGGCTGGTCACTTGCATGGTCTGCATCAGCCGCTGTAGATCCAACAGAGATCAGATGATGAATGGCTGTTCATGGTGGTTAGCTGTGGTCTAGTTACCTTAGAGGGGTTAGCAAAGACCATTCCTTAATTGTAATGTGTGTGGCTGCATTTCTGGTTTTCAAGCACAGCATACTGGTTGTCTAGCTGAAGTGTAAGGGCCTGGTTTTTTGAAACCTCATCCCTACCTCTATTTTTGTGTCTTACTACTTCAAAGCTCTTCTCCATTTCTTTATCCCTAAGGGAAAAGAAATGTTATCAGTAAATATTTCTTCACTAAAGTTTTTTGGAAAACGTTCTTCCTTTAGTTTAAAAAAAAAGCCACCCCTTAAAAGAATCTTGGGGAGAGACAGAAAGGGAGAAATGGGTACATAAAATCAGTATTAAACCATTTTAAGGCTTCAATTGAACAGAAGACACACAATACTGTACTGCAGCTCTATGGTCTCATCTTAGTAAAGAGTATTAGCTGCAAACCTATTTTGGGACCAACTTGAAGACAACTGGAAAGAAGCTGTGTAACGACTCTTCCTAAGACTCACTTTTACTTTTAGCAATTAGTTGATAATGTTTCTTTATGCATAAGGGTAACAATTTTCTTACTCAAGTAAAGTTCTCATGACAACGGTTTCTCCTTATTTCTGCTTTGTGGGAGTGGGTCAGGTCAGGTCAGATAAAGAAAGATGAGCGTGGTGAGTCACTGCCCTCCCAGGTCCCTTATACATTTTGTACCACAGAGTAGAGGAGCCAGTCCAAGTGGAGGTTTAAATTCAAGCCAGCTGTGCTCTCAAAGAGGCAAAAAGGCTGGGATTTACTTTAAAAGCCACCCAAAAAAAATTTCCATCTGATGTCATTTATATTTCTTCCCATTTTATTTACTTTTTAAAAATTCATGTCCCTAAGTAAGATGTAGATGAACCACATGTGGTCATTTAACTCCAGGTAGCATTCATTTTAAGTACCTGCTGAAATAAGATTATTTTAACATTAGATTTATAAATGCCAACATCTTTCACCTATTCATGTTTACTGGGAATATAAGGAAACACTGCTCTTCTATTTCCAAGTTCCATGTTATAAGGAACATAAACTAGTAATAATATAGTTACAAAGAATTCTAGTTATGTGATTTGGTATCACCACAAAACACAAACCAGGGCTTAGGGAGACTGATGGGAGTCTTCAATGCTTTTCCCCTTGTCCTGCCCGCCTGCCTCCCACCTGGGTCCCTAAGATCTAGCCTGGTTCTCAGTTGCTGTCAGTGGGTAAGGAATCATCTCCCTTTAGTGGGTTTGCACACCCCCATACCACCTCCTGGACAAGGGCTGGGAGGTCCCACACAAAAGGCAGTAATGAGGGTACTTACTTCCGGCTTTCTACATGCTTGGCAGTGGACTGCAAGGATGGAAACTGTGTATCACTGTATATTTCTGGTGGTCCTTGTGGCGTTTTCCTCGTTGTGGTTAGCCTGGCCCCAGGAGGCCTATACACACCACTAGTCATTGCCGGTTCTGGGGTTTCTGTAACTAATATTTTACAACAGTTTAGAGAAACCATTCAAATGTTCTGTATTTAAATAAGCCATTCCTGCACTCCTAAATCATTTAGTAAGTATGAAGACAAGCAATCCCTGATACAGGAAGAGTTTCCAGGTGAGACAACAGAAGGAAAGGTAGCTTGAGGAAATGTTTTCAAAGTGAAAACACTCTCTTTAGGGTAGTACTCTAACTGCTGTTTCATGTATAATTCAAACTTTCTAGGGAAATAAGCTCTAACACACTGCTGGTGGAAGTGGGAAAGGAACCTACTGCTCATCTGCGAGACAACCCTCATCAGGAACTATCTTTCAAAATACATCTATTTTTGCCCTATTTCCCTATGAGTAAACATGAATATTCATTTCTTTACCTGATGACAAACTAAATGATGCCACATATATACAAAATGTCTGTGTAGTTGTTTTTTAAAATTATAAAGATAGTAAAAAACAAAAACAAGCAATTAGATAACCTTATTTCATTCTCTTTCACTCATTCTCTTCCTCATCAATGGATTAAGGCTCTTCACTTTTGTTTTCTTAGAGAATTCAGGTAAAACAGGAAAAAAAAAAAAAAAACCAGCAGCTGAGTAGCCCAGGATCTATCATATCATCCTAACAGGGGATGCAATCTTCCAACTTTTCCTATTTCCCCCACCTCATACTTAATACATAAATAGAAACATATACATGTTTTCCATTATCAAAAACTTCATTTTAGGCTGGTGTTGTAGCTCAGTGATAAGAGTACTTGTCTAGTATGTGTGAAGCCCTAGGTTGAATCTTCAGTGCCACAAATATACATTAATTTCTGCCACAACAAAAGCTCTTGTATAGTATTTTTATACAACAAAAGCACATCTCTTAACTTCCAAATCGCTTCCAATCAAAAGTTTTTCCAGAGCTCCCAACCATACCATAAGCACGCATTTAGCTGAAGGTGGAGGGCATGTACAACTGTGTATCAGCGAGCTGTCTTCTGAGACAAAAATAGTAAAATTACCAATTACTGGAGCGGGAGGCGCTTGTACCGGAGCTGTTTTGTTCCAGGGACCTGAAGATTTCTCTATACCACCACCACCTCCACCTTCTTCCCAGTTATCTCCTGGATCTTCTCTCTTTTCATTATCATCTTCTTCCTTTTCACTATTGGAAAAGCAAACAAGTGAAAAACCACCAAGAAAATTGTCAGTCCAAATTCTCAGCTGTATCAATGTGTATCTCTCCGACTTTGGAGAAGTCACTTAACAACCTCTTCAATGCCTAAATGCTTCAAGTGTTTTAAGGAAAAAAAATGGGAGCAGGAGAAAAAGGGGATTTTTATTTATTTAATACACTGGGACTTCCACTGGACTGCATGTGAAAAAGGACTTCACTGCTTAAAAAAAAAAAAGGAAATCTATAAAATTCCATTTTGCAAGCCACTTCATAAGCCAAAGAAAACTCAGAAATGTTTAACACACTGATATGCCCGCGTGACGAATTACATCATTATTTGTAGCAGACCCAGGTAAGTGCTAGACCTCTGCTCAAAAAACTACACAAGAGTTGAAATGCAGAGAAAAGGATGACTTGAAGAGTGAAATGTACAATTACGAGATTTTCCTAAGACCAACGTGTATGAGCTGGCATTTATGCCAAGTGTATTTTTAGTGAAAAAAAAAAAGGGTTTTCAAAAGATGTAATTTTATTTATAATCCTTTCACCCATGTTACAAAATGCTCTCAAAATGAGAAATGCACTCTAACAGGAAAGCAAAGCTATGCTCAAGTTCACTTCCGTCAGTGCTACAGATCTCATTAGTTTCAGTCTCTGCCTGACAGGTAGAGTACACAGAATTAACCCTTAACACACACACATTTGCTGTCTATTAAAAAAAGAAAATTTAAGAGCTTACCAGTTAATAAATACAAAAGATACACTCCTAGGAAACATACCATCCTAAGACTATCCATGTTTATTTAGAGATAAGGTCTTACTAGGCTTCCCAGCCTAGTCCCGAACTCCTAGGCCTTAGCCTCCTAAGTGCTGGAACTACATGTGCTCAGGCCAGCACAAGCAGCTATAATTTTTTTTAATGTCGATTTTAATATCTTTACTCTTTTTGTGCTTATGTGGCACTGGCGGAGGTCAAACTAGGGTCTGGAACATGCTCTACCCATGAGCTATGCCCAGCCCTATTTCTTTTTTCTTGAATTAGAACATACAGTTTCTCCAAGGCATCTTTATTTTTCTTTTTGCTGGGCTACTTATTATTTTATATAAATCTGATCATTCTAAATGATTAAGTATACACAACTTATCTCTTTACTCCTGGCTCAACAGCAGGGATATTTAACACAATACTGTTACTGCTCAAACTTCCTTTCTGAAACTGACTCTGCTGATTCACCTGGCAGTGACTCCTAACCTTTCCTGAAACTGTTTCTCACAATGGTGGATTATCTTAGGTCTTTAACTTCTTAATCTCCTTCACCATCCTTTCCCCCTTCCCCGCAATGTTCTGTCCTTTACACCTGTTTGCCTCCTGATCAACCATCACGGCCATTAACAACACATGAATGACTCACTTTACCTCCCATGTGACCCTGAGAACTATGCCACACAGCGTCCTCTGGCTTCTACATTTAAGTGTGCTTTCCCTCCACTGTTAATAAGATAAGGTATGTCATGGCTGTAAAATAAATTTCTTTAATAGCATGATGGGCTCTTTTAAAGCCGGACAAAATTTCAAAGATAATGGCAGTATTATGTGACATGCCACCAACCAGAGGTGACTCCAGCATTTAGAGACCTAGGGTGTTCCAACTATGAAGGCAGGGATGAGCACTGACTTCAACCTGGACTAAGACTATATACGAGAGGAAAAAAAAGATGAACATGGCCAAACCACCCTTCAGTTTTCCTTTTAGTTTACTAGACACAACAGAATGCTACATAATCGTCTACAATCATGCCAGGCCTACACTCATACAGAACACAATAATACAAATTAGAACTTATTCAAACATCTGTGGAGCACAAATGCAAAAACATTTAGATCACTTCTGAGGGTTGGGGATGTAGCTCAGCACAGAGTAAATACCTAGCATATGTAAGGCCCCAGGTTCAATACCTAGTACTGCAAACAAAACCAACTATTAAAACCTATGTTAAGGAGTAGCTCTGGGTGCTTAAACACAGTTAAGAGCTAATTCCAAAGTCATACTGCTTGGTTCAAATCTAGGCTCTGCCATTTAGTAGCCAGGAAATACTGAGGATGGCAGTTAACTTCAGGTTTTTCATACCTAAAATGAGGATAATAGCCCCATTATGAGAATTAAATGAGTTACTGAGATGTACAGCAATTAGAACAGTGCCTGGCACACAGTACACACTGCTAGTAGATGCCTTTTAATATTCACGTATGTTTTTATGAAAGGAGCACATATACCAAAAGAAAATGTAGTTTCTAATTCAAAACAAAACATGGAAATGTTTTTATTTTTTCATTATTGTATTAGTACAAGTTTGTGGTATATACATTTTACAACTGTTCTGGGGAGTGGTACATGTACATAACACAGCTTATTTCTTTAAAATGTGTTTTTTTGGCTGGGGGGGGGCTCTTTTTGAGACAAGGTCTCGCTATGCAGTTCAGGCTGGCCTCGAAAGCTCACTCGGTAGCCTAGGCTGGTCTCAAACTTGCAACAATAGATCCTCTTGCCTCAGCCTCCCTTTAAAATGTTTTTAAAGTGGAATTTTTGCCAAGTGTGGTGGGTGCAGGCCTATAATCTCAGCATTTGTAAGGCTGAGGCAGGAGAACCACTAAGAGGTGCAGTGGGCTACATAGTGAGTTCAAGGCTAGCCTCAATACAAAGCAAAATCTTGTCTAAAAAAAAGAATTTTTGCTAAGTTCTGGGTTTATTCCCCAGTACTGCAAAATAAATGAATGAATAAAATGTTTTGGAGTTTTCTGTGGGGGGATACTGGGGATTGAATCTGGGACTCTGGACTGAGCTATATATCCCTACCCCTTTTTACATTTTTATGTTGACACAAGATCTGGGTAAAGTCACTAAATTACCCAGGCTGGGCTCAAACTCACAATCTTTCAGCCTCTGGTCCCCAGACTACTGGGATTAAAGATGTGTAAAATACACCCATTTTACAAACAGATCACGTTTTTGGTTTTTTTCAGGCAGGGTCTCACTATGTAGTGTGAGCTTGCCCTGAACTCTCTATGAAGCCCAAGTTGGCCTTAAGCTCCTGACAATCTTCCTGCCTCAGGCAGGAAGCATATACCACCATGCCTGGCTAAAAATGGATTTTAAAAGATGGATACCAGAGAGTAGTATCTTGTTTTCTAAAGCAGGTTATTATTATTTTTTTATTTTGGTCTTTTTGAGACAAGGTTTCACTACGTAGTTCAGGCTGGCCTTGAACTCACAGGGATCCTCCTACCTCATCCTCCTGCCTTAGCCACCCATGTGCTAAGATTACAGGTGTGCACCACCACACCTGGCCTAAGGCAGGTTACTAGGTGGGATGAATGCCCAAGTAAGGATATGAAGGTCATAACTTAACCAGGAGTTTAACAGTGACAGCCAAACCTCAGAATTAACCCAAAAGGAGTTTAACAAAAATAAAAAAATTCCACTACTTTTGCAGCTATGCTAATGTAGCTATACTGTAATGTTATTCTTCTTAGTGCAAGGATCAAAGTATGAATCCTTACTCACCTAGCTAACAAGTGACTAGTGATAATGTCCCAACAACCCAATCCATGCCGGACAAAGCAGTGAAAATCCCCACACAGACCTCCATGGCACTTATATAACTCTTGGTATATACCCCAAGTTGAGGCATCACAGCTTTCAACTGCTCATTTAAATTTTGAAACAGCTATTAACTAATCAATGTGTAAATTCTAAACTATTAACAACTATTGATTAACTATTAACTAAACAATGTTTAAATCAATGTTTACATTCTAAATCAGTGTTTTAAATTCTTAAATCAATGTTTAAACATCTCAGCTACTCAGGAGGCTGGGGCAGGAGGATCACAACTTAGTGACACTCTGTCTCTAAAAGGACTGGAGATACATAGCCCAGTGGTACAGGACTTGCCTCATATGTGTGAGAGATACTGGGGTTCAATCCCTAATGTCATAAAAATAAGATTAAGATTGTAAAGTATTAGCTAAATCAAATATTGAAAAATTGTCTAATCATGAACCTTCATCTGAGATGAAGGAACTAAGGCCCTAAGATTGCCAAGGGCCTTGCCTAAATCCCATAGTACTAAAGGCAGGATAGAAATGATTTATATATCCTATTGCATTCTCTTATTTCAGAAAATGTCAACTCTCCAAAAATCCAAATTCCAAAGGTAAAAAAAACATGTTGCCAAGTTATTTTTACAAAAATCTAAAATTCAGCTTTTCATCAGGCTAAAACTCAGTATTTCACACAATATAGTATGTAACTTTTCATCAGCTAAACTTTGCTTTTAAACTACAACATAACACATTTATCACCAGAGTACTGTCTTAAGTTTCTAAGGCACTACTGATTGGGATAAGGAGAACAATTACACCAGGAAAAGAACATTCACTGAGTAGCTACTACACCACACCAACACAGCCACTCACAGGAACACGAAGGCAGAGGAAAAACCCACTGGAATAGAGGAAACTTGACAGTTCCTGAGGTCCAAAGTAGCCGAACTAAATTATAGAGTCACACATTCCTTCACACATTCCTTCACTTTGCTTCTACTAAGAAGCATTTTATCCTCTTCACAGCTCTAAGATGTAACACAGAAATTTTCCCTGTATGACAGGAGAAATGCATTTCTCTTATTAAGGTTAACTGGTATATTTATGCAGGACAGAACAAAGCCATGCACGTGATGGAAACCCTTAATCCTGGCTGCTTGGGAGGCTAAAGCAGGAGGACCCAAGTTTGAGGCCAGCTTGGACAACAGAGCAAGACCTTGTTTCCAAAAAATCCCATTTTTATCTTTATCTCAAAGGAGAGAATTTTGCAGGCTCATTGTAATTCCCTCTCCCCAACACTAGGGGGAGGCAGCTGAAACAAAAAAAGTTCTCCAAAGGTTTGTCCTATTGTACCAACTACCGTTACACTGTAAAAAAGATAAAA